GACGAGAACTCTTTATTTGCGTAGACTGAGCTTTCTGTCGCGTCAAGAACCAGCCGAAGTATCATCCATAACGTCACCTAGATGGGCCAGAAGAGAAGGCTTCGACCATCACCGACATGCCCACCTAAATTTCAATTTTTAACGAATGCCGCTTGCAATCTTAAAGTGAGCTCATCACTGAGCAAACGTTCGATATGAAAATTGTTTGATAGGAGCAGGGCTTTAAAGAATCGACCAAAGGTGGCGTTCGTACACAGGGTTTTTTGCACACCAAACCAGTAGAAGCAGCGTTCAGTCGCCACCGGCGATAGTAGCGAAGGAGATGCGCGACGCGTCAACACAGCATCTAAACAAATTATACGAACTGTAAGTCGAATTTCAAAATGAAGTGTAAAGACGGTGATCACCTCACATTGGATGTCGCCCCTGTTTGAGAGTCGTCGTGAAGTGCGTGGTAGTGGACTAATTGTAATTCATACTGGGACGTGGGTACAGTATAGCGATAAATTCATACAGGCTTGTCAAAACTTAGTGTTGCAACGTTGGGCTTTGAAGACGTGCCTCAGGAGGCGAATAGAGCTTGTACGCAAAGGATCTTCATCGATACGAAGTAGGTCGTAGAATCTAACCATAAAATTGTTCAGACTCCGGAGCTGAACACCCTAAGAAAAGAGTAGTGTTCCACCTAAGTTGGAAATTGAAAGGTTTGTAGACTAGTGACTAGTCGCTTTTCTACCACGACAGCGGACTACGTAGCCAAAGAGGATCACAGACAGATCCGCATCCTCCCGCCCAAGGTCTAATTCATATCTAGGGGTTAACAGCTGTTTCCCTGATTGTCCTCTCTGCCTTCGTGCCGCGGTTCCTTTTGCTGGAACAGCTTTTCCCCGATGTTCAAGAAATCCTGCGCCCCCAACTTCATGGCATCCGTTCCTAACTCCTTGAACAAAACGTCCGCATCGAGGGTTTTCTCATGGTCATTCGCGCTGACCGTCTTTTGTTTCCTGGAAAAGCTGCGAAATCGACTCGAGCCGCGTGAAGATTAGTGAGCATGTGAAGACGTCAGACACCAAATGGCTTATCGTTGTTAGAGCATGCAGCATACCCGGGGATGATGTGGGGGAATGCGTGCTGACTCTAATAAATGATAACCGCAATATGGCCCTTCGGAGGGCGAATCAGAAAGCATGTATTTATCGAGGGACGGGGTTCGACTCCTCGTGGAGTGCAGGGCAGAACTCGAATGCAGCGAACGTTCTTATCGTAGCTATGATAAGATTTCCTGACGTTTCGCATGGAAAACAACCAGTTGTATCTCATGCACTTTCCGAAATCATCGTTAACCTTGCGGTAAAACAAAGCGTGACTTTGACAGCAGACGACGTCATACATAACTAAAATCAATAAACGGGATAATTAAAGCGCGCGCGGCGGAATAGAAGACGTCATAATCTCAAGAAGAGGGACCAATTTACGAAAAGCAAGAGGCGCCATCATTCCCCAGTGCGGGGGAGAAGAGAAGACAATGAAGAATTTATTTATCACCCTGAATTTTGAATGAATGTCATGATCGAGGGTGGCGTCCCGACACAAGTCAGGTAGCCGCAGTCCGGGCTGGAAGATTGAGCGGGCGGTGTATTGACGTGAAGGAGTCTCTGATTAAGGAGAAAGGGAACATTCCGAGTTCCGGTTTATCAAGCCACATACTTCGATCGATAGACGTGGTACTGACGAAAGGACCTTAATCGTCTGACCGGGCTGGAATAAATTACCAAGTACTTGTGTCGCTGTTTATTTAGGCAACCTGTGATGGAGAACAAATATCACCCAGCGAGACGAATGACAAGCAGATCTTCATTCTACGGATTCAAGAGCAATGATTGAGCCTGAAAGAACAAGAATGGCGGGTCTTCGCACAAGCATAAGCATAGCAGTGTAGTATGAAGAGTCGAGGATACTAGTTCCAATATCTTTACATGTACCGGCAGAGGAGAGGTAGAAATACGGGATTTCAGTCATAGTTGCAGTTAGACGGTAAGGATAAACGTGTAATTAAAGTTAGAGGAGAGACCGGCACAAAGGGCAGGAAAAGAAAGAACGGCAAGTACGTAGCGGCAGCAAGTAGACGGTAGAGGATCGGGAAAACCTTGAACCATCGGCCCGGGTCCCGCCAAGTTGGCGTTTATTTACCTCTAGCGCCCATTCGGACCGGGATCTGCCTAAACTGGGAATGAATGATCCAGTTCGTCGGATCTCTGAGTCTCCTCTTTCATCCGCCCTCCAGTGGAGAGGATCAGCGGTATGTGATCAATCAGTAGATGATTGATGTGCCATGACCCCAGGGTGCTGTGTAGAAAGTGAATGACTCCAGACGCGGATGCGCCTCTGCCCGACGTCTCAACGTAGTCGCGCCACCCCCCAGCTACCAGCGAAGGCCCTGACTACACGTACGACGGGTATCCATTCCATACTCCCGACCCTGGCCTAGCTTCAACCGTTTCCCTGTGAACAACTAAATGTCCCTCTTCGAGGTTGGAATTCGACTCTGCGCCTGGTCTCGTAAGTAAAATGAAAGCAATTGGGCGACTCCCATCAACGCGCAGCTGCAGTCGTCGAGCCACACAAGGTGGACTCTGTTTCTCTGCTACTACACCCGACTCTGATGCATCACCGAGATTTGCACTACAACTCAGCATCTCTTCATCCGCGATGCCTCACTCCCCTCGTCCCCTCCCCTCCCCTCGACCCTCCCCCGTGTGCCTTGTTCCTCTTCTTCTCCCGCGTACCTTCATGCTCGCTGTCGTCTCCCCTTACACTGGCCAAGGCGTGCCATCCCGACGCCGACATCGCAACCCCGGACGGGTATGCATCCCACGCCGACCGACCCTGCTGGTAACATATCCCGCGCAGCGTCGTCAATCCCCGCGGCCCCTCACTCAAGAGCGCAGCGCACCCTCCCGTCATGCCTGCCCTCCAACGTCTCGTAAGATAATATATTATTCGACCTCCATCCCACCATCACGTATCAATGATGTCGATGAGAAACCGCAGGCACTTTTGTTTGGCTTCGACACAGGTAGGACTTGTTATTTATGGAGGGTATAGAATGTGTACCTCCCCTCGTCACGGCGAACAAAACACCGGTGATGGGATTATATTGTACATCGGATTGTATTGCGTTCTCTCCGAGTCGGCAATCTACATAGCAGCATCGCTACATGTCGACTTGTCGAATGTTCACTCAAAGGCTGAATATCGCCCTCACTCTAAAATTACTGACGGTTCTCGCGGCGCAGCGCAGTGTTTATTCAATGCTCAATGCATCTTTCTCCCTGCCCTTGTCCCTCTCAAAGGTCCCGTGCCTTCTGCTTCTTTCATTTCCTTTGTTCCTTTCACGTCCCTTCCCTTTCACTACAGCCCAGGCCTTTTTCTGTTCTCCCTCTCTTAGGGCGGGCATTTGAGTTCAACGTACTTGTCTTGGCGATGAGTCCTGTTATAGCGTCCCCTTCCCCACGCTCCCGCTCTCACACGAAATAAAGTTTCCCCCCCGAAGCCGAAGTTTTGCCACTTTCTCGCGCTTTCTTGCATCAGAGTCTATTATTGGGTGGCGCTTCATAGGTCTTTTTACTGTGGGTTCCGTTACTGTTTCCTCATCGCTTGTTCCCTGAAATATTGAGACTATGTACGTTTTCTTGTGATTCTGATCTTTTCCCGTGTTTGTGATTCATTCAGAGTTTATTCTTGGTGTTCGTTTGGAGAACGCAGCTAGGGACGATATTTCGTTATCCACGTCTCCCAGTTTCATCCTGTCCGTTTCGGTATGGCTTTTGAACCAGATCCGTATACGGTTCCTCTTTGGTTCTGTGGATCATTCCAAATCTCGTATTTGTAACGGTCATCAGGAATTATATTGTCTTTGTCCGTGATGCTGACCAAAAGTTGTAGGTCCGTGCATTTTGTTTTGGTCATCATGTTTCACAGCAATGTAGCAATGTAAGTACCTTGTTTGTCAGTATTCATCACGCTCTTGAGAAATTGCTTCCCGAATCGTGGATCCGTGAACTCGCGTTTCACGTATAATGTACGGTTTACTAGTTACATGAATAATACGTAGGTGTAAGAGTAAGAGTAATCGTTCATCACGCATCATTCACTCGCTATGTTGAAAATCTTCCGCATCATTTTCTGTTTGGGGGTCGCGCATCATTCCGTTCGTTGAGAGTCGAGGCCATCATCTGTCGAGTTGCCTGGTATCATTATCATTCGCAGCGGAGAGGGCGGGAAGGGGGAGGGACGTGGAAGGGTGTTGGAGGATACGAAGAGAGGGCAAAGTTCAGCCCAGGTGAGGTCGATACGTAGAGACGTAATTGTAGAGCTAGCACCTCATCATCAAAACGCACAGACTCTCGGATGAGAAGCCGAGACGCGGTTCCTCATCGACGAGGACGAAACGTGGGAGTGGATGGTCGCATTCGAGTCAAACGCCGTATATCTTGGCAAGGTAAGCGGGAGCGTGTGAGAGACCTACATATTCAGCAAGTTGTCACCAAAGAGACGAACGAGCGAGCTCACGGGCAGGCTGTGCACTTTCTTTTTTTCTTTTTCCGAGAAAAAAGGGAATTGAACGGAGGAGTCGGGGAACGTAATCGAAAAAGATCGGGTAGGGGGTACGACGGGTGATTGTCGGGAGGGATGTGAAAGGGGGAGAGGAGAGGAGAGGATTCGGTCTTCGGGGGGGTAGTGACTTGGAGTAACCATCCATGATTAACGTTGATGATGATAGACAGACGAGTAAATGAGATGGGAAGAAGAAGGAGAAGAAGGAACCCAACTTTTTGGGCAAGATTGCGCAAAAAGCGCCACTGCCTCCGAAGATCCGCGCACCCGATCTAGGGCCGAAGCAAACCGGTTCGAGTTTGCGCATGTTTGGGTATTTGTGCGTGTGTACGGACTTCTCTCGTGGCAGATAACTAGGCCAGAGGTCTGGGTTTGGGAGGGAAAGTAAAAGCATCAACCCCCCGGTTTCGACTGATCCTCTCCTCCCCTATCGCTTCGCTCGTTTTACCCTCCCCTCCCCCTTCCTCTCCCTCCCTCCCGCTAAACCTCGTCGGTTAAGGATAACGCCTGGAGTGAGTGCGATGAAGCTGCAAAAGAAGGCAGGATGGGTTACTGACAGAAGTGTAGATCTCGCGACCCTTGCCGGCTCCACACTTCCCGCCCACCTTATCAACAGCAACAGCAACAACCAACACGCACCGAGTACGCTTGAGCCCTGCTCGCGACTAAATCTTTACATGGCCATGTCTCTCCCAAACTCGCCCGCCTCCGATAACTCCGATTCTTCCAACCCTCGCACGCCTACTAGCCCGTCTCTCCAGCTCGCCCCCGACACCACCCAGCCTACCATCGCCCCCAGCAAACGCAAGCCATCCCGCCGTGCCAACACTGCCGAACGCCGCGCTACTCACAACGCCGTCGAGCGTCAGCGCCGCGAGACCCTCAATGGCCGATTCCTCGGTCTCGCAGCTCTCCTTCCTAACCTCTCCCAGATCCGCCGCCCCTCCAAATCGAGCATCGTCAACTCCTCCATCGCACACGTCCACGCTTCTCGCCGCCATCGTCTCCTCGCCGCTCGCGAGCTCCGCGCTATGAAGATGGAAGCCGATGCTCTCCGTCGCGAGCTCAACGAGTGGCGTGATCGCGCGGGCGTACCCCGTGTTGAGGAGCCCGTCCGTGGTGAAGGCTTCGGTATGATCATCTCTGGCGAACTCGAGGTCCTCGGCGTTGCTGGCGAGGAAGAAGAGTACGGTGACGAAGACGGTGTCGTAGGCGGGTACGACGAGGTCCCCCCCTCTGTCCCTCCCCCGATGTACCACGGACATGGCCACGGCCACGGGCGCTCCCCCGTCATCGCGAGCCCTACTAACATGAACTTCGAGAACCCGCAGATGGGGTATGAGAACTACACTCCGATGGTGGCGGCTCCCGGTGCTGCTTATTATGGAGGAGGACCTGCTGCTGCTGCTGCTCCACCGGCGTTTTTTGAGGAGAAGCGGTTCGCGCCTGCTGCGTTTGAGGGGTATCATAGGCCGAGGAGTGGTGGGTATGATGCGTATGAGGGGATGATCGTCGGTGGTGGGGGGGCTCCTGGTGCTGCCGCCTTTGCTATGATGGTTTAAGGTTTATCCCCTACGAGTTATACCCTCTCCTCGCCTGCAAAATATGTAGACTCTCCTCCCCGCACCCCCCTGCTTTGTTGTATATCCTCGCTTATCTCATGACCCAACCATTCATTCGGACTCGAAGCCCGCCTTACGCTCTTTCATTTCCTTTCTTTATATCTTTTGCTGTTTTTTATTGGTTTGAAGAAGTAGATAATCTGTATGGATTGGGTGACAGTCCGTATATTTATTCAATGCAAGTGCAAAGAAAAAGTAAATATTAATTGCAATCGGCATTTCGGGTTAACACGACAGCCGGGTTCTTCGCTTTGTAGTTATCACGGACTTGTCGTTGTCTGATGCTACTATCTTCGGATCCTCATACAGTGAGTTCAAAACTCGGTTGATGAACACTGGTTCAGTAGATCTTTCATCAGTACATAGTCCAACCTGTTGGCTGATCTTGGATATCGAACACTACTTGCACCGCAATATCCGTCGCCACCTTCATTCTGATGCCCGGTTACTCGCTTGAAGAAATGTACTTGTCTTGCGTATTTAGCGCGAAGACTGTATTAGACTGAGTTGCTTGCTCTCGTTACGGCCCCTCGATTACTGGGAACTCGTTACATGAGGGCTCTTTGTTCACGTCTACTAAACGCTTCCCGTTCTAGCTGGGCGTCTCTTTATTCGGACTGAGTTGGTTCATCACTGTCGAGCGAGCTTCGTACTATCTCTATTCACGATCTTGCACTTAAAGGCACTGCTTGCGCGTTCTCTCATCATTTCATTCCGGCGAAATTCCCATTGCTTATTGGCGTGATCCCTTCCCTTCGCGCTTATCATGAAACCAAGCGATCCTGCCACCGTGTGATATGATTCGCGATTGCACACGTGAAGTTGGTAAGAGTCTTTCTAATAATCAGATAACCCTGCATATTCTTGCATACTCGAAACTTATCTCACCGCGTCACAGTGCTCGATTCTGATAATATGATCTCCTCATCCAGCACCGTCGTCGATCTAGGCGCACAAGTTCATACGGAACTCGTCAGGAAGACGAGGACGGGCGCCTTTGAGGATTAATATTCATCATAGCAAGCCCGGGACAAAGAGGTAACCGGTTACCGGAAGCATGTGAAAAACTGGCAATGGTTAAAAAACCGTGGGAGTTTAAGGGGGAGGAGGGGTTGCGATGCCCATGGGAATGTAAAAATGAAATGCGGCACCGAATGTACGAGCTCGGCGGGGAGTCGGGGACGTGGACGCATATCCCAACACGCAATTTGGATGACAGACGGAGGCGCTCGAGTCAATCAGGCACCATTGTCGATCCATAGGGGGGGGGGCGGATTCGGATTCGGCGTTCGGTGTAGGTGGCCTCCTAAGGGTGGGCTGTGCGAAGACAGCCAGTAGAAACCTTGCCGAATTTTTGTGTATGACGCCGCCGGTCGTCATACGGCGGGCCTGGAGGAGATCGAGGCGGGACCCCTAGTCTAGATCGGGAATCGGCCTCCTTACGCTTCCGATACGCGATCTACTCCCTGGAAGAATACCCTAGCGATGGTCTAGGATACATGTACTTAAGCGAATCACTGCATACGCGGTCTTTCTTCTCGACCGTCTTCATTTCCGGATTATACGGGGGCCAGCATGAATCTTTCGATTCTCGGGTTGTTGCGGTTCCGGAGAAGCTCGAGCTATTCATCTTGCTCTCTTTACTGGTTGCTGGTTTATTCCGCCTCGATGTGATACAAAGACGAGGAGTGGAACGACTTTGGTTTTGTTCCCCGTGTCCAGGCTGTTTCTCAACATGATAATCGATAGAAACCGTCTTGGTTTCTTTATTGCTACCTACATAATATTCGCTTGGCTCAAGGTTTTCTCGCGTCGAATTCCTAATGATGTTCGTGATTACTTAAAAAGATTCCGTGTGCAGACCTGGCTTTCGAGCAAACATACAAGAGGAGAGAAGAGACAGATACGAATCTCGCCCAACCAGACGAATGAAAACAAATATTCACAGGGTGGTTCGTGTAATATGAGGCCATGAATGGGAAAGCAGATTCAATGAACATACACCGAGTTGAGACTTGAGAATGGCCACCCATATTTTAAGACGGAGGCGATAAAACACAGCATCATCAGAGAGGGAAACAAAAGGAATAGCTTGTTGGAAGGAGATGGTGAACTGGAGAATCTGATGTGACTAGCAACACAATACATCGCACCGGACCTTTGTTGGCCGTGCACGTACACTCCTTTATACACCCTCCCAAAGTGAGAACAAAGACGACTGCGCGAGTTGCGTATGATGGAGGTCTTTACGAGAACGTTTATATACAAGGTTCTAAATCTCTTTATTCACTCTCCCAAATCGCGCAAGCTGTGGATGATGGAGGTCTTTACGAGAACGTTTATTTTTCGTCGCATCCAGGGTTCGGTACGGCAGGTGCGGTATCACTACGAGGCTATAGACAGGCGGGTTACTAGCGGTAGTCAGGGCTCACCCGTCGGTGGGTGATTGGTACCGGCGGCGTCGAGAAGACAGTACATCTATTTGCAAGCTATGGGAAATCCAGTCGAACAAGTCAACACTACGAACATCACACAGGCTAGATACGCGGTTGCGGATGAAGCCAGGGTCGATGCGTAATGAATACCCGTCGTTGTCATGGAGCGCGCGCAAGTCACAGATCCGCCATCGGGAGGTCCTCCAAATTCCTAATCGTTCAGGTAAATCATCTCCTACGACTCGGATCAGGCAGTGGGTTGATTAGAGTTGTGTTATTGCACAGACGCAAGTTCCAGATTGAACACCAATTGAACACAGCGGCAGTTGCGCGCCTCATTACGCACATAACCAATGGAGACCGCCGATAGTGTCCACTGTCCCCTTGAGCGCCGTACCCACCCTGACCTTGGGGCTCACCCATTGACTCTAAGGCGATGGCGGAAGTAAAGGAAGGTGGAGAATCACGGACTAGCTCAACTGTGCCTATGTTAGGCAACCCCGGTCCGAATGGCACCTCGGGCTGAGCCTCCAAGTTTTTCCGCGTTCTTCCATTTCGGGACGCCTTTCAAGGCAGCGCTCATCATCATCCAAAAACCCGTAAAGCTATCCGTTTCGGGTCTTGGCTATCTCTTTGACCACCACATCCGCCGTATTGTAACTGGTACATGTTCTCGGTATTAGACTTGCCATCTGGGAAGACATTTCTTCGACGACTAGTATCTTTGTTGTCTTCTCGCTGAGTAATTCTTGAGGGTTTTTTTCTGCTGTGGAATGAAGATCCCCGGGTACTGGTACTTAGTTTCTCCGCTTATGTGAGTGCCAAACAGGACGTACTGGTCGATAAATGGAGTACAGATGAACTCCATGAGGAATGAATCATGGAATTCGGCCCACGATTCCTTGTATGACTCACTCCCGAGTCTCTACATCAGCTCTCCATACTCTCAGTGATGACATTCTCCAAGCGCCACAGTCAATTCATCTTTCCCGGACTGATGACGTCGACGGATTGTATCGATACGCCACCTCATTGTGATTCAGTGTGCTTGCTTTTCAAAATCGGGGGCGATGACGTCTCTTGCTTGTTTGACACTGGTCTCCATTATTAGTTAGGGCGATGACGGGTTGTGCTTTCCGGATTGTGACCTTCTCTCTCCTTGCTCTTCTGTTGTCGCGTTCCTCTCGCCCATCGTTGTGAACCTTTGGTCCTTACCATATACTACTTCAAGCCATCATTCGTTGATTTACAAGCAATTATCCTGATGTCAGGCAATAGTCTTAGGCGATGTACGCTTCGTATTCCAATGCTCCCCTTTCAGCATCGACGATGACCGTAATTCGACTCTTATTCCACCTCTCGCCATTATTCCGTTGATTAACTAGTTTGTCAAGGATTGTGATGCGGTATTCTGCTGCTCGTTCTTCTCGGAATCCTTCTCAATGGGAGGTGTCGCGCCTCAAATAGACGCCCAACTCTATACATACTAAGGTCGATAAGAGCCGTCCCAATCATTTTACCTGTACTTCCTCTCTCATCGACGACGTGTGAATACTGCCTTCAAAACGACGGGATGTTTGTATGTCTAGCTCAGAGTTTCGATATACCGTTGGTATCTCGGTGGTTGGACGCCTTCAAAGTGGACGATATCTCTTTTTTTCGCTGATCTTTGTCCGGTTCCACGGTTTGCACCAGGATAACTCTATTATTCCGCTGAATAAACACTCCGTGACTGGCTTAATTGACTACGTACGAGAGATTGTGATCGTCCTTAGAAAGTAGATACTTTCCTTCAGCCTTGCGGCTTCCCTCGATCGTGGCGGCCACTACTATATACGAGGTGTTATCGATTATCCCTGGTGATTGGTCGCAGTGTGATGATCCATCGCCATTTCCCTTAGTCCTCGATGCCAGATCCTAAGGGACAGCTTGTCATGCGTCATGGATCACCAAGAGTAAAAGCCATATGTTACTTGCGTGAACACGGTATGTCACCCAGCATGTTTTATCACTTCTAATCCCGGATCCCGTAAAGTTCGTCGTAGTCATTATAACTGGGTCAGAACACTAGCTATGCGATTCGTCCTTATCTAGCCAAGACAAGAGTACACGAGAAACGCGGTTCCGTGTTTCTAAATCGAAGAAGGAATTTCCTTGACCGCTTGTTCCTACACATGCCATCCGATGTTTATCTCCTCAGCCTGGCACCTCTTCATGTGGCTCGGACGCCATTTTGATTCCGTCCCGCGCAAAACGATGCAGTGATTCAACTAGCTGCCCTGAGTCTGCGATAGCGGGGAAATATCAGCACGCTAGGTTGGTCACAAGACTTTGCAACGAAGGAAGACCGGACCGACGCTTTATTCATATGAAATCGTGGAAAGGTCAGGTAAAAGTAAAATGGAAAAGGGAAAATGGAAAGGGTTGAATTGGATTGTAAGGAGTCTAGGAGGAGAAACTATACCCAGGGGATAGTGAACTGTTGTGCAGGCATTGCCCTGGGAGCGAATGTCCAAATCCTGAAGCTCAACTGAACATCGGAGAAAAGCTGTTCAATTATCAAGTTAGTACGAGTGTAATAGACCGGTCGACCGTGGGCCGTTCACCCCTATTCCGGTGAAATTGTGGAAGGCGAAAACTGAGCCTGGAGAAGATCGAGGCAGGAGAGGGGACTCCTGACCTGAAACGAGTTGGTTCGATTTAGATCCGGATCGGGAACGGAATCTGGACTCGTCCGATGCTGACCCGGAGGGATCGATGTAACTAACTAGCACCTACAACGATATACGCCACGGAAGATGAATACGCTGGGTGAGTATCCTATCAAATTCTAGGCTAAGAAACGAATCTAGTGCTACTGCGACTAATTGCCAAGGTTCAGGCAGCCTCTCCCGCCAGACGTCGGTCTCTACTCTCGTCCGTCTTCATTTCCGGATCTTGCGGAGCGCGAATCTTTTCTCTTTTCTCGGGCTGTTGCGGTTCTGGAGGAACAAGGTCGTAGCCTGTCTACTAAGGCGCGACAGATATTGTTGGGCTGCTCCTCTCTAATGGCAACGGACTTATTCTATTTTGGTATCGGCATCCGATTCGCCTGTTGCGAATTGTTCATCCTCCCCCTTTTGGCGCGTACGATCTGGGCTAGTCCTCTCCTGCACACTTGTGCCCTAGTCTCCTTCATAGACCAGAGGCTGTCACGCCTAATAATCCTCTAAGAATATACTGCGATACTTCCTCAGCGGGTGTACATTCTATCCCGACGTAAATTCAATCGACTTACCGTCGTTGTATATGCTACGCAGTCAAAAAACAATCAAACAGGAACGAAACTGTTTTTTCCCTTTGATTTCCAATGTAAGAGCTGGTGAGATGATCTCCGTCTTTCTATTTCATCTTCCTAATTTCGAAATCTGACGTAGAGCTCGTAGTATGTTCAGATGCGGTGAAGTTTGAAGTTGACGAGTCGCACATCTCCTTCGCTACCGTTCCAAGTGGCGAAGTGAGGGGTTCGTGCCTTGTTTGACTCGGTCAGGATGAAATGGAGACCTACGTGCGAAACGTTCTTGGCACAGAACAAAGCTGTGACACTATACATGACGACAGTATCCACCGTTGGAGTACGCTGTTAATCCGTAAAGCTTTGATTCTATTCCTGTTGGTATATCAGATGGGTTATGAAATAGTAAGTGATGAGCCACCTCAAATTTGCAAGGCGGAATTTAAACAGGTTGGATCTTAAGGGCTAAGCCCTTAAGCCGCCGCGAAGATGGGCACTTCGGTGATGGTCGGGACATTACTCTTTCGGCCTACCTCGGTGGCTGTAAATATTGAAAGGCTACTCGGCACGGGAGTGCACGGCTATAGGGATGGCGAAGATTGAAGAGTGGATACAAGCGGAGAATTGTAAACCTAACAAATAGTTGTTCCTTGCACAAAGAGTCGGTTTACAGAAAGCAAAGCTCGCAGTCAATGAGACTGAGACAATGGATGGAAGCAAAGGTTGAGCTGCACGAAGTACCTTTGATGTCCTAGGGCACTTTACCGCAACTGAGTTGTACACCTCACTAGTCCGTAGCTTGGGGTTTGAGTCCCCCGCGGCTTATTTTAATATCATATGCCGTTTTTACCATGTTTTGCCCTTCCTTTGTCGAGTATACACATTAACAGGGAAGGGCCGCAGTGCGCATAATATAGCACCATAAGGAAACTTAAGCACCAAGCGAGCACCAACGAAGGAGCGAGAAAATACGGAAAGACATACAAGAATAGAATTTCGCACCCAGCTGACAATGATCAGTAATAACGCTAACGCATACGGTCGAGAGCCGCCTCAGCTCATCATAATGCATAAACACGTTGTCACACGACGACCCCTGCCAAGGAAGGATGCCCGGAAAATAGGGTTAGGGTGGACCCTAGTGTTATAATGATCGACCATAGCAGTTAAAGCACCCTCGATTCCCGTCCCCTTCCATCCCTATTGTGGCCTCGTCCACCGCCCGGCTCGTCTTGAATTATAGAGAAAGTTTGCTCATCGACCTTGAAATCATCCGCCCCCGCTTTTTCCGCTCCTGCCGGGGGGTTTTTCATCGATGCCAGGATGTGCCGTTCCCGGGTCTTTCTGGAATCGATCCGGAGCCATTGTGGGAGGGTGGGTGCGCAGCACCCACCCAATTTCGGTGCCCATTTGTAGCCTTGATTTTTCTTCACCAATGAGCACTGAAACCGAGGCCAACGGATTGCAGGGGAGCACCACATTCGCCTCGCAATGCGAAAATTGGGAGGGAGGAGGCAATATTCTCATAGACGAAGCGTTCCCATTTGGGAAATGTCTCAGATTGCCACTGGCAAGTCCCGACAACATTAGCATGAGATTAATTTGCCACCGACGTGATCTAAAAATACACAGGTCTCTAATTATAACACTCACTGTGTAATATCATTGTATGCGTGTCAGGCATGCTTGCTTTTCCAGGGCAACTCGGAGAACCTGAGACGCAATGGATCTGTTGGCAAAATCAGCCAAGTCGGAATTCAGTGTGAGGAATGAGAGAGCCGTCCAAAGAGGACGCAGCAACTTGCTGTTCCTTTTAGCAGGATTGTATACTCTGGTAAGATTTGTCTGTCTGTAATCCTACGCACTAGTACTGTGAAGTCGTAAACAGTCATGAGAGAGCTTCAGGAGTAAGGGCAGACTTTGAGATCTCTCCCAATGGGCTCTCGGCGGTCACGTAGATTGTGCATGTAGGACTATGTACTAACATCCCAGTGACAACCATGAACTTTCCCTTGGGCAGTATGGGACTGCACGGGGAATATGCTCCTTACATGTAACATCATATGTGATGTATCTATATCAGGCAAGTCCATTTAAGGGCAAAGACAAACATGAGCAAAGGAGTGACAAACCTGTCACGAGCTTCTTTGCACGTGTTTGCCGACTTCTTACCTGTCAAGGTAATTTTATCGATGACTGCCTGCACGAGGAATCCATAAGTTGGATAAGGGCAAATTGCACTGGAGACAATCAACTAAGCTAGTAGAAGTAAATATGTGCATGTGCATGTAGGTAGCCGTTTCCGCTCGCAGTCCGGGACTGGCAACAGCCCTTATTATCTTATCAATATGAAACCATGTGTATGTAGGGAGCCGTTTCGGGGAGCGGTCCCAGAATGGTTTCCGATTAGAACACCCAATACTCACTCTCAATGGTAAATGACTGCCTAGTCATAGAGAAAGCACGTGCGTGTAGGGAGCCATTTCAGGTTGCGGTCCCGGAATGGTTTCACGCTTGGTACACCCACTTGAAGGATTCACTCCCAATATAGTAGTTGACTGTCGAGCTCTCGTGCTATGTTACTTGTATGCTGGTTCGCCTGAAAATCATAAGAGGAATGTTGTGGTGTTACACTGCAATACAAGGTTCTGAAACATTTTGTTGAGCTTATAAAGTGTATGCGTTCTTTCAAGTGATCGACCGATTCAATGCGTTGGTGGATCAAAGCACACGTGATTTTTCACCATCTTCCACCAACGTCTACGTGTCCTCTAGTTTTTTTTTTGTCCGCCCTTTGACATGGTGTACGTGGCTTTGATTCTGTTTTATTGGTACATGGTCTTGAAACTTAACAATCCATGGACAGGTGTAAGGAGCCTGGTTGCCCCAATCCGGTGGATACATCGAACCACAAAAACAACTACCATGGACACACGTACACGTATAAGTGGCTCGGTAGGTCACTACTCCTTTGTGAATGATTCGATTTTAATTCCATCATGTGTACAGGGAATACTGTAACCATTCACCGACGCTCTGATGGCTTACTGGATTGTCCGTGCTCTGAACCCCTTCATCGTCGATATTCAAACAAGATCATTAAACGTCTTGTTACTGCCAACAATCCACACCCTCCAGCTATATGTACCGATGAAAAATACCTTGATCTATTTACATCGAGTCCATCTGGTCGTCACGTTCTTGTTCAGCCACCAACAAACCCTATGATAGAAGGCTCTCAAGATACTCCTGGCGACACAGAAATCCCAATGCAAACAGACGCCTCCTCTTCATCTCATCAGCTTTGCACTCAGTCGCATACGACACCGATGGCAGGCAAATCAACCTCGGTGGTGGATGAGCAATCGCGATCAGATGAGGAAACTTCCTCTGATGAAGGCACTGAGGATGAGATTGGAGAAAGCGAAGATGGCAATAACAGTGATGCAGGAGACGATCCGGAAGGCGTTGTAACCCAGTCTGATGCAAGATCTTTGTTACTATCATGCGGTTTGGTCGTTGATGAAAGATATCGGGCCATAATATGCATCGACTGTCACATTGTCCTCCAATACAGCGCTGCCTACTCTCACCGAGTAAAACGCCACTCTGCGTATCACAAGCACCACAGCCGAACCGTCGGGAAACCGAAAATTATGTCATGCTTACAACGGCTCCTTGCGCATATACCGAAGTATCCATCCCCTGATTGTGAAGGTATACCTCAAGTTGAATCTATCAAGCTGGAGGAATTCTGGGGCTGTGGAGTCTCTGGCTGCACATACAAACGAATATGGAAAAGCGCGCGATATTGTAGAAAACACCACACCAATTCTGCCCATGGCGAACTCTCAGCATCGGAGCGACAGCCTGTCAAAGTCCTGGGACATTGTTTTATTCGTATAAAGTCCAGAACATTATATGTGCGCGCTTTTCAATCCATTCCTCCGTCAACCTCATCTTCGGATCATCCATTGTCTATCATCCTTCACCACTCCAAATCCAAAGGAGTCGGAGACCCACAAAAAACTCTTACCATCACAGACAACCGAGAAACCACAGCTGTTTTATACCATAGCGAGTGGATACCTATGTTGCGAGATGTGCCTCTAGCACAGCTCATGGCTAACGGATCCAGTCCGCGGAAAGATGAGCCAGAGCTACTTCGTCTCAAGGAATCTGTACGAGCATACTATCAAGCCATCCCACCGGTGCTATCGCAGATAGGCCGCCTCACACGTACGCAGATAGCCACAGCAGAATTATCTCAGTGAGTCATGAACTACTTCTACACTACCTCGACTAACGGACGCCACAGTTCTGATTTCAAGGCCTTTAAGGAGCCCCAAAATCTCGATTCCCTTATTCAGGATGCAGATGAGATGAGTCGATTCATATCATTCCAACTCCGTTCGGTTTTTGCGCCCATCGAAAACTATCCAGTGTCTACCCATCCTTTCACTCGGGAAAAGCTATATGAGCTTCATCGAATTCTTTCTGATAAAGAATCGCTGGAGGCGAACGTCGCTTCCAACGTACACCAAGTAATTTGGTATTTTCTGCGTCATCCCACGCCAGAATTCCTTCAAGATGACCTTGCATGCCCCCTTTCCCGTTACCTAGTGGCAGCGCATATAAAAAGTGCACGTGGACAATTCTCGATGCCACGGTTTGTCCCCCCTACACTATCAAGGTTACAGTGGTCCTTTCGTGCAACAGCATGTCGTGAGATCCTCAACATTCGTCTACAATACAACAATGAAACCCATAAGTCAGACATTTACTACTGCATATGACACACAATTCATGAATATTTTGCAGAGCCTACCTCGAATGTGTCCGTCCCTATCTCACAGTGGGACACCAGACACTTTTCAACAGTCTGAAACAATCCCATGCGTTCTTTACAACACTTGCAAAGAACGAACCTGGATTTGCCCGGTTTAATTGGGACTCGGATTTCACTGTGCTAAGCATGGATGGACAACCCATCCTCATGACGGATTTCACGAATTCTATCACCAGAAGTATTCAGACACTTGAATCTCGACTCAATACGTTGTTTCGTGGCTGCGAATTTGTCGACATTCTTGACCATATCTCTCAACGACTCAATCCCGAGGATCCGAAAATGTGGATACAAGATGATCCACACAACCATGAGTATGGGGGTTCTTTCATAACGAACCCCATGAACGGCTTTACCTTTTTCGGTCCAGACAAGGAAGACGTGCGATACCGGTTGCTCAGGCATCTCTCCTGTCAAGAGAACCTGTTCGTAAAAGTCACCCGGGATGGTCAATTATTTCTACGTTGTATACACCAGGATAGTACTGATGTGGGTTTTTAGACGGTAACGGGCCAATTTCTACACTACAGGAACAACGAGGTGAATATTTGTCATGGGCCGTTAGAACTGTTCTAAAAACATGTGACAGGGAACATCATGGATTGGATATCTGAACTCAATGAATGCGTCAAGCTAGTTTATTACCTAGTGACAGCAACCTGGGGGGGAGGGGCGAGGGGGACGGAAACAACGCTCATTCAATATGCAAACACGACAAATGACAGACATGTATATGTCTTCAACGGCATGCTGACAATCGTAACGAACTATGCGAAGACACAGAGCATTCAAGGGCATGGCGTGCGCGTTGCGCGCTGTCCATCGTACTTGGTCTCACAGCTCCTGATTCTTCTGGTGACAGTGGTGTATCCGGCTGCCATGCATCTGTCTGCATATGTCCTGTCCCGAGAATTATCAGAAAACTACGCATCACATCTCTTTGTGATAAGTGGTCGTCGCATGGACACTCAGGACTTCACGCGTGCCCTTACGGAGATTACATCTACGTATTTGCGTGTACCTCTAGGTGTCCGTTCATGGCGGCAGGTCATGCATACAATGCTTGTCAATCTGGCAAATGTCGACTTTGCGTCCCCTGATCAACTAGACGAGGAAGTGAAGGATATCCATGCTATGTTTGCGCACAGCAAAGACGTGGGGGAACACCACTACTCCCTCCAGACGGGCAATGCACTCACCGATATATCAGCAACGGCAGTTTCGTCCAATCAAAGAATCAGCCTTCGTTGGCATGCTGTTACCCATCTATTGCATCCTGCTCTCCTGAAAAGCGTACACTCGAATAATGCTGTAAGAACATTTGCATTGCTGTTTAAGCATTACTCTCATCATCTTATAGGGAGGCAATTACCATTCAGATGCCCTGTTTAGCGTATTTGATGTTCATTTTGACTCGGTTACAAAAGCAGTCCAAAGGTCTACCAAGAACGTCGTCGCTTCCATTGGACAGCAGACGTCGGTCATAAAGACCATAGTTGAAGAGACGTCCCAACGTGCAATGATCGGTGCAATGTCCTACGTGCATGCCAGACTCATGGACACTGCTCATGCTGATCAAAGAAAGATATCAAACTTCCCGCCTATACAAGTACACCCAGATCTCTTTAAGCGAATACAACCTAGCATACCCGCTGGTAGCAGGTATTTTCGCTCACCTCAGCAAGCGGAACTTGTGCAGTCAACGCTATCAAGCGATCACGTTTTAGCTATCATGCCAACTGGCAGTGGGAAGAGCCTTGCCTTTTTTTCAGCACCTTATCTTGATGATGGCGGCCTTTATGTCGTTATCACGCCTCTCACTGCCCTCACCGAAGACATGGGACGTCGCCTCAGACAGAATGATGGAATCCGCGGAGGGATTTATCCTGAATTCAGCAGCTTGGATGGACAGCTTGTTTTCGCAGCTGCTCATTACGCTGGCACCGAAACCTTCTACAACTGGGTCGACAAACAGGCTGACCGACTACGTCGAGTATTCATTGACGAGTGTCACCATCTATACCTATCAACGAGCTATCGCTCATGCTTCAAGTTATTCTATCGTCTGACGGCACTTGGGAAGCCAATTACTTTCCTATCTGCGACAGTCTTTCCGCAATCGATTCCACTACTGTGCAAATGTATGGGAATACCGCAGGAAACACTGCGGATAATCAGGACTTCTACAGCGCGACGAAATATACGATATTCCGTCACACATGTACCTAAGAGCATGGACATGGTTGGGGTGGTAACCGAGTTTTGTGCAGGGATCAAGTTTGGGCCCGATGATCGCGGTATCATCTACACTCGCACTATAGCGGATGCTATCCAGTTGTCACGAATATTGCAATGCGATTATTACATCTCTAAAGTCGACCCCAACAATGAAGAAAACAATACAATAAAAAAGCGCGAAATAATATCCACATGGCAGAGTGGGGAGGACCCAAAACGCCGATGGATAGTTGGTACACAGTGTCTGGGTGAAGGCATCGACCAATCAAACGTCCGCATCACAGTGCACTTCAATGTAACAACTCTCATTGATGTAGTGCAGCAAACTGGAAGAGCGGGTCGGGATGGGAAGCTCGCATATTCATTCATTTTTTGGAATGAGCTTCCATGGACGTCGAAGAAAGAGGGCAGCAGTTTGCATATATACGACCAGTGGGACGACTTTTATGATGTTGAAGCCGGGCAAGAACATTATGGTATAGATGAGCTCATATTATTGCTTCACGAGCGATATCAGTGCCTCCGAATCCGTTTTGTGAAACCGCTTGATGGGGATGCCCATACATGTGCAGCCCTTGGTGGTGCTCTCTGTGAAAACTGTGAAAGACTTCTTTCAGTGAGTTCTGGGTTAAATGACTATCTGACATGCACTGAAATGGAAAAACAGGTCAGGACCCCGACAAATATGTGTCAGGATCCTAACCTGGAGGTTGGGTTTGTCGCAGATGTGGCACCATCTCATTCGTTCAGTGCGCCACCCATTCCTTCGATACTACTGGCTCAGGAGCATGAGGGAGTGCTTCCTCGAGTACAGAATGTTCGCACTGCAGCAGAGAAAGTTCAGCAACATTACAAGCAGTCAGACGCTCATGCTACCAAACTCCTCGCGGCTGTCAATCATTTGACATCTTATGGTTGCGCTGACTGTTGGATATCGAGAGACCCTCGTCAAGTAGGCACGCCACATAAGCACGCAGTCCCTGCCATACGCCATCGTGTGCTATCCATGACTCTTGATGCGCTGGTATTTGATGACTCTGATCACATCTACACTCCGATCTGCTATCGCTGCTGGATTCCATTCCACCATCCTTTCAATCACCCACCCGTAGCCAAAAAACACGAAATTGATGAAGAGTGTTGCCCCTACAACAAGAATATACGACGTATCATCCCAACAGCTATCAAAAGCGCGTTCATGTTTGAAGTCGAAGGGGGATTTGTGTATCGGGACACTATCGCTAAGCGGTTAGGGATCCAACCTTGGAACAATATCGAGGAATTTGCTCAGTGGCTGCGGGTACCGGTGAAAGGAGCCTCCAGGGCAAGAAATTGTCATACTTTTATCGTTGAACTTCATGAGTTACTTACAGAAACTGTTCCGAAATGTTAACAGTATGTGTCTCCCAGAGGGATAGGAGATATTTTTTCAAGAAATGCCACACATCGTTAATGTTTGGGCGTTCAGAAGAAAAAAATTGTTCAGCAAAGATATTTATTACAGGCGCTTTAATTCTGAACGTGGTATAAAAACATATCGAATGAAACAAATGCAGATTCCAATGGTAAGGGTAAGCATAGAGAACTATCAAAGGTCATGAAACTGTTCAAGGGCGATGGAGAAGAAAAATAAATAGAAGTACGTGCAGCAATTATCATTTAACTGGAGAAAATTCTGATCAAGTGCATTGAGAAAGGCGATGTTGAAGCATGCGTATCGTTGGTTCAAATCTAAGGGGGCGGTTCTATCGCTGGAAAAGAATACGTTAGATATTATCCAGAAAATTTGCGTTGACTCACCATCCATTGTTAATCTCCTGGTAGGCAGGAGTCCCTCGTCGTCGAGGCACATATAGGCCCATATTAATAATATCATATTGGAAACTAATGTTGTTTCCGGCCAAGCACGAAGTCCGAGCCAATGCCGGTAAGCAGAAGACGTTGGGAACGCGTTGGAATCCAGTCCGAGGCATGGAAACACGATCGTTCTCAGAGCCTCCGTCCTCCATATCAAGTATACCAGACCTCGGAGCCAGTCTTCGTATGCGAGGTCATCGCACTTCTTCAATCCACCAGCATGGCGGAATGATGACCAGTGCGGTGTTCCACAGAAGAAACAACCTCTTATTCTGTATATGATGTGACGTCGGAATGCGTTGAAGTGACTGCCGGCAGACCTAAGATCCGAGGAGCACTCCCCGTAGAGTTGGTTGTGCTGAATGTTCAGTTTTTCGTTCATTACGCTGTGGTAAACGCATGATCCTTTTACCGGTATAAGCGCTGAGCCGGTGAAGTCGAGGATGGTTGATTCGGTGTTCTCGTCACGAGAGGTGATGATGGCGAGTATCGCTGCCTGATGAATGGGAAGGGATGCGGACTGGTGTGAAAGATCGTCTGGTGGCGAAGAAGAAATTTGGGAGGACGCCGCCCATAAGGAGTGATCAGGGACGGAGAAAGAGAAGCGCGAGGGAGACGAAAGTGGTGAAAAGTTTGTGATGTCTGGATTGGTGATGGGGAGCGTCTCTGATTCCGTAAGTTCACCTTCTCCTCGAATTCGTTTTTTCTGGGTGTTGGCGTCAGCAGAGGAGTCGCGTCGTGACCGCTTTCCATCCCTCTGTGACATATATCAGAGTCACTGACATAAATAAATAAAAAACAGCATACTCACTAAGCAAGAAGCGAGGTGATCATGGAGGTGGCCACCATATCCCACAAACGTACAGCCAGTTCCTGGGCATTTGTAACCTGCCACAGCAGACGTCAAAGGAAATGTTTTGCCTAATATAAAATGTTAATTAGCCAATGCCAGAATGTATCTGTATATCAGGGCGTACCTTCAATGGTGAACAAAAGGTTCTCGTCTTCATTATGAATACCGATATGACGGTCATACGCATCTTGAGTCGTGAAGCGTCTCGCACATCCAAAAGAACAGGTCAAATCTAGGAATAAGAAAAGAGCGCGTTATGAGTAAGGAAGGTACACAGGTGCGGGTGACCCACCGATTTTGCAGGAGTCCATTGCAACTGGCAGCTGTCGAGAGTTGATGAAAGGGCGTGAAGGGGAAGGTCAAAGTGGGATGGAGGAACGATTAGTTGTTACAGACCCTCCAGAATATATACGCCGCTGTCAAAACTGTGGGGAAGGGCTATTTCGGGATAGAAGGCATAGCATTCGAGCGTGAAAAAATGCCGATGCAAGTCATTGGTGGATTGACAATCACATGAAATTGTGAATTGTGAAAACTGTCAATATGCCACGATCATGTTGTATGTGGACTAGGCAGTTCAATCAGAATGGGAGTGAGTGGATTTCTCAGAAATGTGCATTACGTGAGGAAAAATCCTACTGTAAATATTGGACAGGACAATGAAAATGGAGACAAGCTCAAGCTGGAGTTTGGGTCTGCATGTGGATGGTTAGACCGATCGTGATCGCACTTCTGTTGTAGATAGACAGCTGTGAATGTCAATGAGCTTCCTGAGCATGCTAATCCGTTGTTTCAAAGCCAACAAAGCGACCTTTGAGACTCGAGGATTGCTCGATGAGATGATGAGTCAATAGAATAACTGTTTATAAAGCAGGCGTGGTTGGTCTCTTCACAAAGGACAAGGCAAAGAAGAAATGGACACGGAAATGATGCGTTAAGTAAGATGGCACTCCCAATAAGGTAAGTAACTGTCGATTGATAGTGCAGGTAAGGACGGACAGGACTGGAGGCGTTCCACTTAGTAAGTAGAACTAAATCTATGAGCATGAGCATGTAGGTATCCGTTTCTGCTGCCGGTTCAGGACTGCCAATGGGCTGTATTACTGTATTGATATGAAAGAAAATAATTGCATGTAGGGAGCCGTTTCAGTGAGCGGTCCCAGGATAGTTTCCCTTGGAATTGTGCGATGTCTATCACAATCCGGATACTCGGAAAAGTGTGCCTAATTCCCTAACCCTCTAATTACAAGGACAATCCATGTACTATACGCTGTATTTAAACGTGACTATAACCATACCACTCCGGCTCACTCATTCTCATTGCGCGGTTACGCCCACTGTGACGAGCAATCAAGGGCAAAAACATGAGAACTCTATCAAGGTAGAGTGTCAAGGCAGTCAACTTTGAAATATCCGTCAGCTGCCGAAGTGAGGGTGTAATAAACAATGAAGACTGACCATACGCTCAATATTAAAATATGCATCAATCCAGTGCATTCCTGAAAGAATTCTCCCCATTAATGCTTGGATAGGAAGGGTCAGATCCATGAGAGATGCATGTTGTGATCTAAGGTGGGTCTGTATGCGTAACCGGGCGGTATGACACCGAATGACAAGGCGTGCAGCAACAGCTCGCTGCAAAGGCTCGTCCAGTTGGTAAAGCGGGCCAAGAGATCTGACAATCTGCGGCTGTAGGAGGCTCAGTGGCAGCTATAAGGAGGGATTAGAGCCAAAGTGATTGTGTATACCGAGACAAATACCAGCAAGTCACGGATGGCAGTGACATTTCCAAGGAATGTCGGGTTAGACTATAACCAATACCTCAGCAAAGCAAAACGGAGCAGAATTCAAGGCGTACAGCAAATATTTCCAGCCGTTGTTGTACCATGGTATTGATGTCAGCGTTGATGCCCTGGAAGATACTCTCTTCCCAAGCCGCTAAATTGCATGATTAGAACAATTTGACATAGGCGGGCCCTTTAAAGCGTACCAACAGTGCCCGGATCCATGGTGGTAGAAGAGAATCAAACGATCGGCCATGTCTGAAATGAGAGCCTATATGCCGTGGGAAAATATTAACCAGCACAGCATCTGGCCCAAAGATTTTCAATGTCGCGATGATGAAGAACATAACTGCACTGTACAGATCCATTGAAGGCATCGCATTATTCCTGCCCCGGTAAACTTACATGAACATATGCTACAAATGCGTTTGTGAACAACATGAAATCGCATAAAACATTTCCATCATGGTCTAAACTCCCGAAGGGCTGCGTACAAAAGCATTGACAAAATTGTAAACGTCTGTACCACCAACCACCTTCATCACCCTCAGTAAAAAAGTGCGATTAGCTGAAGCATTTGTAGTGATGCGTTCTCGAAGAAGGTAAGCATTCTCGTTGACCTCGGGATACTCTGGCTCCTCGTTCGGATCTGCAGTACCCTCTTCAACAGCACGTTCAAACCGCTTGACCTCTGCAATCTTCTGAATGACAGGATCCATGTCTTCCTCCAGAAGGGCGATCATTTTGCCAAATGCCTTGCTGTGTTTAGGCGCCTCCAGGCCCGTAGACAGCTGCCAGAACGGATCCAGGAAAAGGGCTGTTCCAAACTAGACAGGCGTATTAGGGAATGTATTGAAGAACATGACCACACTTACAATACGATAAAGTCGGTCAAGATGGTTTCTCGCTGTGACAACCTTCTCGTGTTGACCCTTGAACGTTTTAAACAGCTTTGCTAAACGCCTCTTTCTCTCGTTCCCTGCATATTGGTGAGAGATTTCGCCAATTTGTAATTCATAATATTTTGAAAAAAGGCCCTTCACGTAGGTCTTCTTATCTCCCATGGACCAAGAAGAGTAGTCTTGAGCGAAACGAATTGCAATGATAGAGCGCAACACAAAGTTGATATAGGAGCGTGTCGCATCGTTGTCATGCAAGGAAAAAAGTAGCTATAGGTTTTTCTCGTGTATCAGATATTCCATGAACATGAACAGGATACTGACCATATCTCGCATCCTGATCCGATCTTCCACTCTCTGTTTTCTGGATATAGCATCGGCCTTTTTACACGTCGCAGAAAATTCGATAAAATAACTTGTATCATTTTTGAACAGGTTCTCCTGCTGCTATCAGATCCGTTCATTCGAGATAAGCATAATCCACATACAATCTCATTCTCAGATGATTGAGGGTATCGGTAGCAGATGCGTTCAAAGGCCATCTTGTCTTCATCGAGCAAAGTTGGACGTCTTCCATGAAGGCGCACCTGCTTTGCAGACGGAATCATTTGGCGACGAAAGTGGGCCAGTGAGCACTGAACTGGATGTCTCGCATATATTTCCTCTAGGAACTCTCTGGCAGTTACCTAGACGTGCATAAGCAAAGTGAATCATCCAAAAAGAGCGCATATATGCTACCGAGGCATTAGTATCTGCAAGTCTTTTGTAAGCGCATGCAATGGAACAAGGATATCACGTAAATACCTCTATTCTGGGGAGGATCCTCCTGTTCATCGTCGCCATTTCCCTCAGCCTCATCCTCTACCCCGTCATCTCCATCGATCAAGGAAATCTCAATGTCTGAAATATCGTCTTGGTTTTCATAGGGCGCAATGTCGTCAAAGTGATCCACTATTTCAGACACGTTTTTTGCGATAGACTTGTGAATCTTTGAATAGAGAGCGAGGGACTCCTCGTCGGCGTCCTCTGGAGGCGGAGGGAAGCTGCTTAACCTTTCAAATGCGTTCTCGATGGTCGCCTGGAAGCTTTTAGAGTAGAATGGGGGTCTCATAGTATCGGGGAACGATATGAACAAGCTCCTGTGGATGTGGAGGTAAAAGTCAAGGTGGCTCTTGTCAATCATGTGATACCAGCATTGACTGATCCTTTGCATCGGCCGATCATCACATCCGAGCGCATTCACATCATGTAATCGTTGTATAAAAACACAGTACACCAGCCCAGTGATATGAACAAGCAAAAGTCCAGACTCTCAACAGTTCAAACGCAGCCAGAACGTGCAGAGCAAACACCACAGTCAAGAGTTCTCGTCTGCCCATGTTGACGCGGCCCAACTGAGGCCCAGCATGAGCCTCTGTGGGAGCTATGTAAGCAAAGGTGTGCGAAAAGATGAAAGACAGTGCGTACACGTAATAAAAGCAATGCCTCCTCTTCTCTTTCTCTCTGACTTTTTCTTGTATATCCATGACGGCGACCCTTCAAGCGCTTGTATGGAAAAGGCGGAAAAATTTTGTTCCAATACTTGAGGAACCGTTTGTGATATCGATGGCGATGGTGATTTTCTGGCTCCAGTGTCTCGAGGATGAGGATATTCCGGTAAACATTGCCAAAGGGCCGTAATAACTCGATTTCACTAAGAGTGAAATACTGCATTGCAATCAACATATGACAGCGCATAACACGATAAATCTCACCAAGGATACGTCTATGACCGACATCAATCAGACGTGGCAGGACTTTATGGAAGTACAAGCACAAGAATGGAGAAGGTGATTGACGAAAATGGTCAAGAATATAAATATGTGCAAAGAAGGGCAAAACCGGTTATGTACGTATTTGTCCTTGTTTATAATCCAGCCCAAAGGCTTGCCGGGAAACTCTCACAATGTTCAAAAAGTTCCGAGGTAAGTATGCTGAACCACTGTATTCTTGAAGTATAAAACCTTGAATGTTTAACTCCAACTCCTTTTAGGATCACTTATGTTTCCTTACAGGGAGAGCAGAGAGGACTTTTTCATCTGCAAGGATCTTCCTCGCACCTGCATTACTTCAGGTGACAGCAGCCGTAACCAAGATCCCCAGCCTCACTTTTGTGACGGAGTCGACGTCAATCGAGTGTTCAAGGACCTCGCGAATCGCATATACACATCCAATCTCCCATTGCAGCAAGGATTTGATACAACTCTTTACATCCAGGGGCGAGCCATGCACTACAATTACGTTGCACCTCCCGATAATTTCACGTACCCCGAAGTCTCTATTGTCTTTATGATGCATTCGTTCTCCGGAGTGCCCCATGCATTCCCCATAGTCTTTTCAGGAGCGGTTGCTCAAGGACTATCTCAACTCGGAAGCCATGATCTCAGTGGTGTCGAGCAGATGCGAATTAGTCTCCATGGTGCAAGTCTGGACACGTTTGACGACAAATATACTCGCTACACCACCATTCCTATGCGGCTCACTTTTAATGATCACTTCATATACCAACTGGTACGCACTGAGTGGAATCCAAAAAATGTTGGACCTCTTATATCTATCACGAGAGGTCAGTTTCTACGTTCTAAAATAATACACCTCCTCTTACAACCTATCAAGATTATGAAGCAGAAGAAAATATCGGCATATCAGACGATGGACCCGAGGACATCATTGTGAGGCCCATTCTCCGCACGAGCTGGTTTCCTGAGAATGTCGAAGAAGAGGATGTCAAGTCTGAGGACTCGTTCAGTTCTATTCCGTCTATTTTTCAAGGGGATATTGTAAGTTCAGCATATGAGCTGCCGTGTGAACATGCTGACTCAAGTCTAGGATGAACTTCTTGATCCCGCCAAAGCAGAAACAAGCACCACCTCAGTTTTCACTGCAGGACTTCAAGTAAAAAGGACTGCGAAGGGAGGAAAAACGAGCATCCAAGTCGAATATACAGCGCTTCATCAACTTACGAGCCTTGCATCCAAAGATGTCAACAAAACGAAACGATACAATGTAATTGGCGTAATAACATCTGCCAAAGGACCACGTCCGACAGCAAGCAAAGGTGAACGCAGTTTGATCTCAATTATCCAGTTTTAATCAACGAAAGAACAGAATTTTCTGTAATCATCACTCTTGTAGATCCGAGTGTATGTGGCGCCACTGCAGACACTCCTCAGACCACCTTTACGGTTTCCTGTTTCCAAAAGAAAGAAGATCATCTCATAAATGTAGAAATTGGAGATGTGGTCATACTCCGGCATATCAAGGTCAGTAAGTGTCGGGGTATCAGAAAGGGAAATAACAATGATTCCATGTCACAGCTATTATTCTACAAAAGATGCGCCGGAGTTGCGTACCATGACAAATTCGAATACGCTGTCTACTCCCCTGCAATGGTAAAATGCTATCCCAGACAAGTCGTACCGCAGCAACAGTACGATCCTCAGGGGGACGAACTACACTACGTTCGCAATATGATTTCCTGGTGGAAAACAATACAGACCGTACCATTCAAAGCTTCAGGAAAACACATTCCAGTCCACGAGGCCGTAGTAGGCAAATACTTTGCTTGTACAGTCGAAGTAGGTGAAGGTACATGTTATGCATGGAATATACTGATTATGGCGGCACAGGTACTCTTCATAGAAAGAAGAGACCAAACCCTTTGCATATGGGTGACAGATTACACCCAGCGGCCCGATGACATCGTCGTCTCATCAGAATGGTGTCCCCGTGTCCTCAGAAAGTCGGTTATCCGTGTCGAACTGTGGGACGAAGCGCGGGAGCAGGGCAAAATGATCACTTTAGGTGGTTTTTACCGGCTTGGAAATGTCTTATGGAGGAAAGATAAACTCGGAAAAGCAGAAGGGAAGATGAGCGAAGGTCAAATTATGCAACTTAATCTTAATGGAAAGGACGAACATCTTCTGGCTATGAACAGGTGAGGTATATACTTGTCGAAAGCCCCGTCTGATACGTATTGCAGTCGACGCCGGGAGAAGCTAGAACAAGACGCGCAAAGCATCGATGAGTTTCACCTTACACATCTATCAGATATAACTCTGGATAAACCATTCGATTGCATAGCTGAGGTGGGAATACGGTATCCATTAAACAAAATCAGACTGAACATCTCTGCTATTTTTAGTATATCGGGGGCGTAGACATTGGAAATGAACACATTCTCTACCTTAGCGACGGGACGAAAGGGAAGTATCTACAAGATCTATGGAACGACAGGCCGCCAATTCATCTCTTCAAGGAGATACTTCCCGTCCATCTCTACGACCATCAAGTCCATCTCATTAAGGACTTACAGCTAGGATCCCTTCTCGTCGCCCGTGATCTGATGCTTCATCGTGGCTATGGTGGCAAATACCACGTCAAGCTCAAAGGTGAAAGTGAGAATCTATTCGTTCTCAACCATATGATGAGAGACTATAAAGAACAGAAGCATATCATCAAATGGTGAGGATCTATCGTTGATACCAAGTGCTTTGCTAACGTACAAAGTTATAGCCGTAGGAGAGGATATTAAAAAAAACCATGTAGAGTTGAAGACTGAGAGACGCGGCGCACAAAAGGCAAAGTAACAAAGTAGGTAAAAGCGTCCGGCAGCTATATTATGGTCCAAAAAAGAAAAAAAAACTCTCCCCCACATGTTTCAATTATCATTACTTGTCCTGTTGCAGAAAAGAACTCCCTGACTTGTCATCCTCCCACGCTTCCGACTCGTCGTCCTCCCATGCCTCTGCATCGGCCAAATCCGACCCTGACTCTCCCTCATCCAGGCTATCAGAGGGTATAAACTCTTCCCCGAAAAGCGACTCTTCCCATTTTTCAATCGCTTCTTCGTGGAAGCAAACCTGACTTTGCATTTGGATTACGTCGTCTGCAACAACAAAGTCATCAAACTCGTAATCTTTATCTTCTTTATACGAGTCTGAATCAACACTAGCACAGTTTATTCATATAAAAATTGATACAAACCGCGGTGGGGATGGCGTACCTGTCAATATGTGCAGCAAGGGAAGAGGCGTATTCACTAGCGTCTCCATCACTGCAAGAAGGATCATTGCATAGGGGAGACTCGCCCCATCCATAATATATATCAGCTTTTTGGGAAGAACTGGGAGAAACGTCGGCTAGAACGGTTGGAGGGGGAGATGGAGTCAAAAGGGCTCTGACCCGCGTCACCAGCGAGCCATCGGTGACAGCGGTGGGAGGGGGAGAGGGGGTCAAAAGGGCTCTGACTCGTCTCATCTTGCGACGAGCAGGGGGGGGGGATGAAAAATCCAATGGCCTCTTTTTAGACGCTAAAATTACTGACATAAATAAGCGTCAATCCGCAACCAAGTGAACCTACCGTGGTCGTCGTTAACCTTTGGCAACATATTCTCCTGGCCAGCAGCATCTAGTACGGCCCCAATACCATTCATGAGCTCGTCAAAAGCGGCGAGTTCAACTTCTGTCGGCATTGGAAAATCATCTGATAAATGGCGGTTTTCAGCCCCGAGCGTGTCCATTATATCGTCAAACAACTTTATCTCCAGGTCGGTAGGCATCGGAAAATCGTCTGAAGAGTATGTAGACATTATGGTCCGTCTCAAAAGGAAGAATGCAAGCGAGGGCGACGAGGTCAAAGGCAAGAGAAGAGCAAAGGCAAAAAAGAACGACATGAGCAAAGCTATTTATACGTGGCTCGATATATGCGCTACAAATAGAAACAAATGAAGAAACAGAAATGAGTCTGCCGCCCCATTTGTAATTTTTTGGCGCTGACATAAGTGATCATTTTACGATCATCTTTTTCACCCGTGTCCAACAGGCAACCCCTTGTTCAATATATACTCGCATGCCATGTCCTCAACGAGCGAGTTATTATTCGAACCTGGGAGCCATCCTCAATCCGTCCTTGTGGAGTGCGTCCGATCCACAACTCTTTACACATCCTGACCATGTTTAGCCTGCATCATAATTTGAGTGTGTTTCGATAAAATCCTGCTATAAAATCCTCGTTTGTCATTGCGTAAATCCAATCAAACTTGGCCTAGTCTGGCTAGGCACTGGTATCGACACTCAATTACCAAATTGGGAAACCTGGTCAAACGCACCGGTGAGCGTCAAAGAAAACCCTTTTACCCATTATTTCAGTTACTGAACGGCAGAATTTTAGACAATATTGAAGCTGTGTGCGAATTCAAACCCCTTCCATTAACCAGTTTTCAACCAGGCGCTATGCAGGCGCTAACACACAGTTATGCATATTACGTCAAATTACGTGAACGGCGCACAGAGCTTCTTTTTAACATCCTTTTGCCCTCGCAGCCTTTCTCCATCACTACCATGCCTCGCAAGTCCGTTACAGAAGTGGTGAGGAGCATACAAACCCTGTACTTATGTTTTACAAGCGAATTTCTTTTTAGCAAAAGCAAGTCAATGCTGCGAGGCGACGGGAGCTTCGGTCAGAAATTTTCAGGGAGCTATTGGCTAGACATTTTTACTAACGCGATAGTTCAGTGCTCGAAAACGACAAGAGTTGGAGGAGACCGGCCCTACCAGGACTCTTGGACGCGCAATCAAAAACCCGATTCCAGGCACATTTGTGTTCCGCGGAAAGGACGCGTTCGCTTTGCCCACGCAAGCGTTGACGATAGCACCCTCTCCATCCGGAACCCTACACGACCCATCTCCTGGAATAAAATTCGATATTGTAACACATAGAACATATTTATACAAGATGAACATTGAAAGGGCGCACGGGAACATCACTCTCGTGTACGACGACATGCCGACGTCTCCTCGGCAAATTGTGGAGAAGAACAGACAACTTTATGATAAAAGTGAGTCATTTGTTGTTGATTTATATGGACAGCGCGTTCAACAAAACTTACAGTTTATGATGGGGCTAAAGACATCGTCTCTCTAATTTATCCGGGGAGTGGAGCCAAGGAAGAGTAAGTTACAAATGTAAATGCTAAAGCGTCTTGCATTCACTAAAAATAATACACAGATATATTCTAATGCGACCAAACAAAAAAAATATATACAATCCTATTGAAGACCTCATCTCGACGGTTACAGTTTTATTCCATGGTGAGATTAATTTCATTTCCTCTTTTTCATCATCGTTCAGACTTGTACAGCTGTCAAAAGAGGATATACGAACCTCGACCACTATAAAATTGAAAAGCTCCGGGAGTCGCTCGCTAGCACGTCCTTCAGGATAATCACGGACGCAATGAACGATATTAACTGCGCACTCGAATCTGAGAAAATCAACCCCCTATCAGATCGGATAATAGAACACATCATTGAGCAATCTTACAGCCGAAGAATCCTTACGATGGCACCAAAGCTCAACTTGGGGTACAAACCGTGGAGCAGCGAAACTTATGGAGAGCTGCTGCCGACATTCATCTCCAAAATTAGCCAAATCTGTCATATACAGAAGTCATCGCTTGTCTTAGACCTTGGCTGTGGAACGGCAAACGTTCTTTGCCAAATTGCAATATCTCACGGCTGCCGAACCTACGGCATTGAGGTTCGGAACGTTTGCGTAGAGGGGGCACATTCGATGATTTCTGAATCCCAGCACCGACTTGAGTTGTGGGGATCAGAAATGATGGGCTCGCTGATTATAGAGCATGCTAATATGCTCGAAAGCACTCAACTCCTGCAGCTACTCTCGGAGGCCGATTTGATTATCATGAACAATTTTCAGTTCGATCCTGAGCGTAAGTCTCGATCCATATGCCTTGTATGGGACTAACTATCTCCCTAGTGATACAATCCATCAAGGAACTCATACAGAATGCGAATCTGAAAGAAGGGGCGCACATCTTCTCCATGAAAAGTCTGATCCGCCAATGCAAAAATGGTAAAATGACAGAAAGAGATGTAAGCCCGTCATCCATATAGTATGAGATCAGACTCAACAGCCTTTCCATCGCCAGTTTTCTGTCCCCATGAGAGAATTTCGCCAGGTGATGCATTATTACCCCCCAGAAAGCGTCTCTTGGACGGAAAGCAAAGGTATCTTCTATATTTTAAAGAAGGATACAGCCTGGTATCGTAAAAAGGAGGCCGAGTTCTTGAACATGAAGGAGACGTCCAAGAGAAAAGGGAAAAAGGGTGCAATGTGATCATGCGAAATGTTAACAGTAGGCGTCTCCCAGGGGGACAGATAACATTTTTTTTTCATGCCTCACGAAGCTCGTTGTTAAAGTTAGGCGCTTAGAACAGATGATAAAGAGCTGTGAGGGAAAGGTAACATTTTTTTGCGACGGAGCTCACTGTTAAGGTTCGGTTATATGCAATAGGTTTAGTAAAATCACGCATAAGAAGACTTGAAAGGTAACACAAAGAAAAACTGATACTCGAACAAGCGTCAAAATACAAGGATTTGTAAACGTAAGAACGACAATGATGCTACAGCCCCTCAGATTTAAAATCGTCCAGCGCTTTCTTCAGTTCCGCCTGTACATCGAGAATTTCCGACAAAGGCATGTTCCCTTGCAGGGGAATCGCAATTCGGGCCCTCAAGGGGGTCTGTGCGGCCAACCCCGCCAGGGTAGTATTTTTGGAATCGCTGCGCAGGGAGACGTGAACGTTTCGCCCCTTGGCAGGGTCGTTCTTTCCTCCATCACGGACGAAAGAGCCCCAGCTCAAAGTGAGACCCGTTTCGGAGAGCACCTTTTGCTCGCTGGTCGTCGGCCAGATTCGGGAGCTTGATGTGGCCGAAAAAATGTTTTCTTCTACCCTCTTGGCGATTTTGGCGATGTCCTAAGAGTAAGATCAAGCTTCGTCATGGATCGCAAAGGAGTCAAACATACTGGTTCGACAAAGTCTGTTATTACTTTTTTACAAGCTGTTTTGCCCCCACGTTTATCAGCGGTGTAGGTAGTCTCGACTGGCATGAAATGGACAATTAGACTTAAGTCGAATTTCGTTAAAAAGGACTCACAGGACATGCTTATTGGAGCGAATGCAAGGCTGATGGCGCGACAGAACAGTCTCCACTTTCCCTCTGAGTATATAACCAGAAGAATCCAGGTTGTTCCCACCGACATAAAATTAGACGTGTCACTAGGGCAAAGTTTATTGAACAGTCTGGTGCTGTGGCTCCACCGACAGCATGCCAAGCTGAATTTTGCATTAGTATAAATAGACCAGGAAGGGGCAGATTGAACGGCAAGTCCAAAGCATAATCCTATTATTCTTCGAAGGCGCATATTGTATGGAAATGAGCGCTGCGTCCCAACTTCCGGGTCTCTTGAGCCTCTAATCGCAGATCCGTTCAGTTCGGGAAGATGTACAACAATGGAATTCATCATTGAGCGGCCATATCGATGCTTGAAATCCAGCGTCGTGTACTCGGATGTGGGTAAAAATAGAATCAGATCGTTGCTGAAATCAAGGGCGAGCGAGACCATTTCAATTTGTGTCTAAGTGCTGCGAAGCGCCCACAGATCTGCCTATCCGCCGCCTCAGAACGGTGCCGAATTTGAGAGATAATGAAGATGGGTTTGGAGATGATAGCTTTCAAGCTGTATAAAATATACTGAATAGTCCGAACAGAGTTCTGTGGCATTGGTTTCAGAAACGCTCAAACGTGTGAAATGCAATGTCTCTGTATGAACAAGTGGGAACGTCAAAGGCAGCTTCTTTGAAATAGCACGTGACACATAAGTTGGAACCTTTTTCTTTTACCGCCATCAGCACAGGCTCTTGAACTGAAATGCCCAATCCCTTTGCGAGACTTCGTGCTCAGCTCTTGAGATACCACCCTTTCACTTCGATTTTCCCATTAAGGCCATCATACGAACACTTTTACAATCCGTCCGGGCAATGGCTTTATCACGATGCAGCACGTATGCTTGCCTTGCTTGTACGGTGTTCTGATACCAGCTAATCGCAAAATAACAGAACGTGCTGCACGGTATACTCCATTTAACGTTGAAGAGCTGCGAAAAATTGCTTCCAACTCGGTGGATGCAGGGCAATGTACACAAATTAGCAAACTGGCAGAAGGTGCGGGAAGAGTGACTGGGCAGAAAACATCGTCTTACTCTCGACAGGCTCCTACAACAAAATATTCCTTCTAACCTTTGACAACGACATGCAAGCTATCGCTCGGATTCCGTCCTCTCTCGTTGGGAATGTCGAGCTTACTACTCGAAGCGAGGTCGCCACGATGCAGTTTCTACGGGAGCATGTAGGGACAATGGCGGCTCCAAAGGTTCTGGCTTGGGATCCACATCCGTCCAATCCTGTAGCATCCGCCTACATTATTATGGAATACATCGGTGGAATATCAGATTCCGAATACTGGTTAGAAATGACAAGCGCTCAGTATGCACGTGTCATTGCAAGTCTGTTTCTTCTGCAGGCGAAGCTAGTTGTTCCATTCTCGCAGATTGGGAGCCTATATTTATTCGAGGATGTCAGCCCTGAGCTTCAGGCCCGCCCGCTATTCAAGGATGACGAGCTGAATAAAAATGCCATTGCGCAAAAATATCGAATAGGCCCTATTGTTAGTCGGGATTGGTGGAGACGGGGCAGAATGAATGTTCCTGGGGACCGTGGTCCTTGTACGTATTACAATTCTATTCAATCTCTTATTGTCTCAATCTTTTAATTAGGGCCAGACATGCCATCATATATTATTGCAGCTGCGCGGCTCGAACTTGAATGTCTAGAACGTGGCATCGATGTCGACAATCCCAACGTTAGGTCAAAGGTTGCGGATATTTCCGGCATTCGACGGCTGCTAGAGATGTCCATAGCCATCGCCCCCTCTCTCGTGCCTGCAGAATCATCTGTATTGGCCCCAGTTTTGGCGCATCCAGACCTCAATATATTCAATATGATAATCCAATCTGAGCCACCACATCCAGTAAAGTCATTCATTGACTGGCAAGGTGCCATAATTGCTCCCATCTTCCTGCAAGCGTCCCTACCCACAGCAGTCTACGCCATGGGCGAGAATAATCTATTCCAGACTGATGATCACAGCATCATTCCCCCACTGCCGGATGATATTGGCAATTTTACACCGGAGGAACAGGGTGTTATGCGGCGGCATTACAGACTCATTCAGTTTCAGAGGGTTTACGAGATGGAGATGGAGACGTACCTACCGGAATTTGCGTTATCTATGGCCTATAATCATCAGCACCACACTCGTCGTCTTCTCAAATCCATCCTCCGCTGTTGGGCTGATGGCCCTCTGTTGCTACAGCATCATCTGATCGAACTAACGGATTTTTTCCCCGAGGGCAGTTGCCCAATCCAATTTCCCGATGCGGAGCGTGCTTTTCACCGGGATCAATTTGAAGGATTCCAAACCTATATCGATGCTGTTGAATGGTTATGCCATCAAACCAAAGTCGATCCTGAAGGACGGGTGCATCGAGATGATGAGAAGGGCGCTATGACGCTTCTCCAGGACTCAAAGATGAGATGGCATACGAAGCAGATGAATGGCCCATACCCCTTTCATGGTGACGCCTGGTCGTATCATCTTGTGTGATGTGCCTGTCGTCTAGCAACTTGCACCTGCATACTCACGGTTTTGTTGATGAACTGCGATCTAAAAAAACATAATAAAAATGCCTATTTTTTGTGCTCTTTTTATGGTCCAAAAAAGGTCTGTTTTAACAAAAAAAAAGTGGCTTTCATTTTACTTTCATTGTTCCGAACAATGGACGCTCCTTGTTCGGTTTATTCTATTGTGTTATTCTAAGAGCGTATGGACAAGGACGGAGGCACGTGGCTGGAGCTCTTCGATGCGCGTCGACGCGTTGGTCACGAGATCAAGATCAACAATATATTGGATCTCCGATCGAAGAGCGATTTAAATATTCCGTTTGTTGTTTTCCGTGGCCACACCAACGGATCCAGACTTCGACCACCTATTGCTCCAAGCGTTTCACTTTTGGCAAGTGCAGGCGCCGTCCGTTTTCTCACGCATATCTTCTGGGTAGCACCCTCGATCTTGGTGGTCTCGCCGCGGCTGTCTCCATCTTGGCATCGGACTCGGTTTTTTTTTCGGTAGGTTGTCTCGTAGCGCGGTGGAATGGACCAGATGCCCTCAGAACGGAGCCGGGCACCTTGTGCACGGAATCACCCCTGGGTCCAACGCAAGGCGCCTGGCTGCTTTCAGAGCGCGTCTGGGGCGTAGAGCGCGCTTTTTTCTCAGAAAAGCACCCTAACTAATGGCATCACGTCTAGGGGACATCTACATCGCCTCTGTCAAGCAGGTCAGGCTACCCATTAGCCCCCTTGTACGCGCCGCAGGTCTTTGAAAACCCGCCGGGCTCCTTGTGCACGGAATCACCCCTGGGTCCAATGCAAAGCGCCTGGCAGGTTTCTGAATACGTTCGGCGCGAACAGGAGGGGCGATATCCCCCCTCATTCATAGCTGAACGCCTTTTTACAGGGACGTTTGGCGGCCTATACGCACCGATTTCCCGGCATTTGCGGCTGCCAGAATGCTATGGGTACTCCGCTCCACCCGCTCTGGGCGCCTGTTCAACCCCAATCCCGTAGCCCTTGACTCCGCCGCCTTCAATAGCCTTCCCGTCTCTCCCCTTCGCGTCGATATTGACACCAGCGCATTGTTTCGCGACGCTGTCGGTCTCGAAAACGACCATTCCCTGGAGAATGACCTTGACGAGCTCGACGACATACACATTATGCCCCCCTGTGATCCCCCCCCTCCGCCGCCCCAGCCAACTTCGAGCCCAAGTTCGAAGCGCCCATTGGAACGCGGGCCATCTAGTGATGCCGCCCGGTTGGACGCAGATGCACCCCCCAACTCGCACCGACACAAGAAGAGGCGCAAGGCCAGGATGGAAAAGTACGAAGAGGAGGGCCACCGGCCGTCCAGTCGCACCCTCAACCTCATCCGCGAGACGGCAGAGCCCATTTATACCAGCCTCACCACCGAAGGACTCCCAACAGCTAAGGGCGCCTATTCCGCGGTTAATTTTGCGGGACCAGATGCGTCAAAGCAATATTCGGCGGATGATCTGCGGGCCCTTGGTTTTTCGGAGGTTCCATGGGAGGGTTTGTAAGTCCACCTCGTCTAATTCTTCACCTCGCGCTCAACCCACGCCTGCAGCGACCCCAGGCCAATTGTTGACTGCAAAGGGCGCATTGTGGCAGTCATCGCAGGTCAGCCGCGTGATCCAAGCTACTCCGCAGCGTGCATGGAGGTCCATGACGATATCTTGCGGGAGGGCCAGACCGCAAACTTCCGCAAGAACTGTCATGGCCGTCGCGGCGGCTTTCCGGCGGTAAATGTTGGAATATCGTACGGGAAAGGCCAGAAAGTACCATCCCGCCTTCAGAATGGCGTTTTAGCCGGCATCATCAACCGCCTTGTCGGAAGTGAGGCGGTCAGGCGAATGGCCTCCTATGCAAGCGGTACGTTGTTTTGTTTCTCCGGTAACTACGCCTCTAACCTGCAGATGAATAGCCTCCTATAACCTCTGGGCACCACGGTTGCACCGACACTATGAAGAACACCTCAGTGTGCTCTACGAAAAGCTACCACACCTTCGCCCCAACTTCCCCAGGTCTATCTTTCCCTGTGCTACCTTCAACTTTGGTGGCAACGTCTGGACCTTCAAGCACAGGGACATCATGAACTGCCCTTATGGATGGTGCGCCATCACAGCCCTAGGCCGCTTTGACCATCGACGAGGGGCGCACCTCATACTTTGGGAACTCAAGCTCTTTATTCAATTTCCGCACGGCGCCACAGTTTTCATTCCCTCAGCCACCATCACTCATTCCAATACCCCCCCGGCCGAAGGGGACAGCAGGACATCTTTTACGCAGTTTTTGGCTGGCGGCATTCTACGGTGGGTAGATAATGGCTTTCGCACGGAGAAGGAGATGGCTAGGCAGGATCCAGCTGCGCATGCAGAGATGCAGAAGCGCAAGGCGACGCGCTGGGAGATGGGACTAGGGCTATTATCTACATTGGATGAAATATTAGAACCAATAGCTCCGTAGTGTAAGCATAGAATGTTACATAAATGAAACAGCAATACATCCATTGTCTCTAATAAAATCTCCAGTTGAATCTCAATACCAGTTTAGTAATTGAAGGTCGATGCCATTGCGGTTCAATGCTAGATTTTGCACAGGGCCGGACAAGACGTTATACAGCAAGGCAGGTGCAACCAACAATACACGTTAAAGGTTTGTGTCCCCTGGAGGGTTTGAAAACAGATTGTAAACGCTTCAAGGAGATTAGGCTAGGTTAGGGTTCGACCGAAGGCAGTACAGGGCCACCCACGTAGACGGCTGCCGTTTCCAGTCACCTACACAGTTGCCGCATGCAAACGTTGATAAGTATTTCGTCCCTAGACACAAGCCCACCGCGTGGAGAATCATTCCCTGAAACGGCAGTCCTCACATAGTTCTCAGAGATCGCGCCAGTGTTGGCAGGGATCTGACTCAGTGAGGGACCGTACACCTTTGGGCCCCTGACCTTTCCCATGTAATGAAGCACCGATGCAGATCTGCGAAACTTTACATTACAACCGATGAGCTGTTCTGCTACGTGTCGTACAAAATAATTTCCGGTTGTTACCAATTATTTAATACTCTCAGATGTTGACATGACATAGGATTGGCCGTATCGCGCTCTCTTTACACAATGTGTCTGATCCAAGAATCCAAACCAGTCTCAGCGGTACGGTCTTTTTCCACGAGTTTACCTAGGTAATCATTCCTGTAAGCTTATTTATCGTAAAGAAAAAGGCATGGAATGCCATTAGGATTCTTTACTTCCAGAAGCTGATTACGTTGCTACTCCGTGACAACATCATCCATAAAAGTAAAGGGAAATTATGCAGATGAGCCCGAACCCCGTTCTCCGTTCACAATACCGGAACCTGTATGTAAAGGGCCTAGGGTTTTTCTCCTTTTCCTCCCACCGCCCAACTAAGTCTCATCTGTGAAGTCCCTCAGTATCGTTTGCATGGGTCGCATACGTCAAAAAGCTCGGGCTCTCTGCGCCATAGTTTTTGCCACATATCCCGAGCTATTCGAACAACCCATCTGGCAAGAGCATATGGGATTCCAAGGATTCGATGGTACCAATATTCGCCATATCCACAATGCAGACCTTCCGCACATCAGGGAGTTTTTGGAGCACATCAAGGACCTTCCTACCGAAGACGCCATCGTCGCCGTCAATTCATCAACAGACGATACCCATTCCAAAGGCCGTAATGCTTATACGAAATGGTGGATGGCCAGCGGCTTCATCCGGAGACTCAACGAGTCACTCAAGCGGGGACTCGCTCGTGCCGATGTCAACATCAAGGCGATGTACCGTTTCACTGCCAAGAAGACAAAGTTCGTCACGATCGGCCAATTCAGCCTGAAGGAGGCGGAAATCGCGGAAGCGATGTTTGGCAGCGCTTATGAGGATCGAGAATCCGGTTCTGCACGTGAAGAATTCAGAATGCTATTACATTTCTTGCTCACCGAGTATATTAATGCTCGTCGTAAGGATCAACAAAAGGCCGTAGTGTTGAGGGCTGCCGCTAAGAAGGAAGTTGATGCTGCGTGGAAAGGTCAGATTTTCTTTTTATCTCTTTGCCCGTAAACGTACTGACTACACAACTGATTCGAAAGCATTCGATAATCCTGATACTAGCATCAATGCCAAGCAAGGAAAGGTGATCCTTCTTGCTCTTGAGAAGTATGAAAGGTTTATCGGGTGGGAGGCTACCGATGCGGAGATGCTGGAGTGGGCGGAGCATGAAAGGATGAAGGGTTTGTTTGAAAAAGCACTTGTCAAAACGGAAACCGATGAGAAGGAGCTGAAAAGACGCAAGAAGAGCGCACAATGTACGTGAAATTACTGTTTTATTTTATGTATCAATGACGACATCATAAACAGTCATTACTGGTCGACTGTCCGGGAGAAACCTAGCTATTACCGCCAGTGAAAAAGAAATCGAATCGCTTCAAACGGAGTATACTAGCCGACTCGAATCTATAGAGGACTTGAGACAGAATGAGGAGGGAGAGCGTAATGACATCGACGTTAATCCCGGCCTTCCTGCTCATCCCGCACTTATCGGATTCGATCAGTGGATGGCTTGTGGTGATCTGGGAGTCGAGGCTTGGGCAAAGACCTCTTATGAACAGCTGCGGGAGATGCTGCGGTGGCCGCAGGGTCGTCCTGAAGAATTCAACCAGTTCCTGAACTCCTCGCTTGTGGATTATTGGGATGACGAGAACAAGGAATATCTGAAAAAAATTCCCTCGGAGGGCGACGCCGATAACAAGGTTATCACCCTGATGTGGCACCAGCTGGTTGGTATCACCGCTTTGGTGAACATGTTCTGGACCGCAGAGGAGATCCCCGAAGGCGTCCCTGGTGCCCTTCTCGCTGATGAGGTCGGTCTTGGAAAGACGGCGCAGATGATGGGCATCATCGCGTTTATTATAGCCACGCGTCGAACGCAACTAAGCAAGAAGAAGCTTCCCAATGTGATTGGTGAGTATGGATTTGCATCGGCCAGTCGCAGTCCAGTTACGTTTTTCACCAATACAATTACTACAGCGAACCTCCCCTTTTTCTGCGGGAAGAAGCAGATACCGAACGCTCCGCATCTTATTTTGGTGCCAACGACGCTACTTGGGCAGTGCTATGTTGAGTTGAAGAGGTGGTTCAGACCCCACATTATCGATATTTTTGTCATGCCCACGATGGAGAAAGCCTGGGCGGAATTTTTCGAGGGTATAGACAAATCACTGCAAGACCCGTGCCACATAGTCATTGTCGCAAGTCACAGCGTAAGTCAATGTCCTTGCATTATATCCGAAGCGAACATCCTCTAATACAAGTGGTTATTAAGACTATCAGCCAAATGGCACGCCGTAACCTGTCCATTAGCAGCACGAAAACTCCCATGGCCAGCGTTTTGAGGGAGGACCGACACAACGGGATGGATTATGCGCCATTATGGTCCCGTGAGTTCTGCTCGGTCATCGTAGACGAAGGTCACAATTTCCGGACAACGAACGTTGCATATCATGGCCTCAATCGGATCATGGAAAAAGCTTTTGTCAGGATCATAGCCACAGCGACACCGCTCTATCAGTCGCCTCGGGTAGAAGTATTCAAATTTATGGGTAGGACACTTGGCTGATGATCATACTTAGGATCTCTGCAACATTGGGCGTCTCCTTCGTATTTCCGCATTCCTGGGCGAGAAAGCGGAAAATGCAGAGGCGGAAATGATTCGCCAGATCGCAAAACTTCGGCGAGATGTCACAAAGGAAGGTAGAGACATCGTGATTGCGTACAATAACCGCCTTATGCATGGAGAAAAAGTCAAAAGTCCGTTCGAGGCGGCGTATAAGAAAAGTGCCGACTGGGTGACCGACATCCAGTTCGGGTATAATGGTCGCATCATTCGTCGTGCAGTTACGTCCAAGCGATATCAAGGGAATCCGGAAGAGGAACCAAAGGATCTTCTCAGCGACCTTCCGCCTAGTGAAAAGAGAGACATTCTAGTCCATCTGACGGATGCAGAGAAGCGCGAGATGGATGCAGAAATGGAAAAATGGTCCAAACGGTAAGTAGTATGAGGAAACTGTACTGGAATGTGGAGCTGATGTGACGCGAACAGCAAGGAAGCGGGAACCACCGAGGTGGCAGATGCGGGGGTAAGTTAAACGTTCTCATTGGACGATCTCACAGTGACTTTCAGTGTTAACTGATCACCTGTGTTAGGCGTTCTTGCTTAACTATCGCCTTGCAGTCGCATATCCTCAATCCCAGCGGGATCCGACCTCCCTCTCTGCGAAGGGGAAAAAGAAGTTCCCTCCATTTTCGTCCTTGGAAGAATACCAGCGGTTTCCTGGTGCCAAACTTCAAACGTTAATAAACATTTGCAAGCATTTTTTGGCGGGTGATGATGCACTGCCGCCATACACCGACTCTACCACTAAACAAACTGTCTATCCTGACTTTCCAGAGCTACCATCAGGGGTCGTAAGGACATATAACAAGAAGCTTCTCGTGTTTCACGAGTTTCCCATGCTTGACGACCTAATGAAGTCGGTATGTGACGGCTAACCATTTTACAATGTGCGGAGCTTCTAATGCCTTACGTTGCTTGTTAGGCCTTGGAATTGAACGGCATCAAAGTCGGATGTCTAAATGGGACGATGAGGATTAATGCGCGTCAAGAGATTGTCCACGAATTCATACATGGAAATTCTTTCCGTGTGTTACTCCTTAGCCAAGTAGGGCACCAGGGTCTCAATTTGATGCGAGCGAGTATCATGATATCCTTCGTGAGCACAAACTCATACTTAACACATTGTTTTGCTAATTTTTTGTAGGACCTCACATGGTCAAAGGTGACAGAACAACAAAAGGAGGGCCGTATCATAAGGCACGGACAGGATATGGTCGTTTACATTTACCGTCTGGTTGCTGCGAACACGATCGATGTCTTAATGGCCCAGCACGCCGGTGTAAAGGCTGAGCAACTAAAGCAATTTTTTACCAAGCCGGATAGCAATCTAAAGCGCAATAGAGGTCAGTTTAAATGTAAGCATAGGTGTAGCGTACTCATTCAAACAAAATATCTCCAGAGGCTTTCCGTATCATATTCCAATGTGATATTCCCGCTGATGCTGCTCCAGCTGCGGACGGCGACACTGACGACGAAGAAGAAGGTGAAGAAGAAGGTGCCGATGAAGATACCGCCAACGCACGCCCAGCAAAGAAGCAAAGAACGAACCTCGATGCTGCCAAATCCACCCAGACTCATACAAAAGACTCCCCCAGACGCCGAAAGGGCCCCATCCCGAAGGATAATAGTGCCGAGAAGGATTCGAATCAGAAGAAGAAGAGGTCACAGGCCAAGGATAAATCAGACGGGAAAGGTAAAGATAAAAAAACCCCTCAGGCAGAACATGAAGGCGAAGATCATCACGCATCCCAACCCCCGAAGAAGAAAACAAGGCCAGAACAATCCCAGGGTAATGCTACGGCAGGAGCTCCGACAACAGAAGCAGATCGTGGAGGGCCGGACACGACGCAGGGTGGCGAGTCAAGGGCGGAATCGAGTTCGCATAACTAACGCTAGGATATTCTCAGTGATTCAATGAAAGGTATTGGTGCCAATGTTTGAATTTAAAGAAATATTCATATCAAAATATTTTGTTCATGTGTAATGTCTGGTTCAATGGGATGTATAACAGTCTTGCAGTCCTGAAAGATTTCGAGTCCAAATTCAACTCCCAATTTGGTAATTGGATGTCGACACAGTGCGAAAAGCGCCCGCATGGTAAAGGAATGATTAACGTACGCTTATATTTACTATGAAGAATGAGCCATATCTACTCTTCTCTAATGATATAAATTGCAAGCCGAACTGAAATGACGACAAAGGTTGTAAAAAGAAATGTCGGAAGGCATCTCAAATGAGTGTCAACACGCTCCGAACATGTTCGGCACCTGTATGTACATGTTTGGCTGCAGTTGTGATCTCGTGACTGCCGCCAAAAATTTCCCAACTCTGTCTAAACTCACTCTGGCCCATGGACCTCCCGAACGATCTCCTGGAAACTACAGCTTTCCAAGGTTTCTACTCTCTCCACTGTCCGATCAGCGGCAATGATCTATTTTCTCACTATCAAGTACAAATCAAAGCTCTTCCAACAGGAATTGATGCCGTCAAGGACCTTTTACAGGTACGAGATTCCCAAGGTAAAGATATGGTTTCCTAATTTGATTTGAAAGAAATGTCTTCATCACACTCTTCGAAACGCGCAAAAGCATATCGGCTTCACAACCTCACTTCAAAATACACCGGTTCTGGCTGCTCCCAATAAGAACGCCTTCAACAGGCAAGCCTTCAAAGTCATGGCTACGCTCTCAGTCATGGACACACTAATTGCAGCATCCCAAGGCCAATACGGCCGAGTGGAGGTCTCAAACCACTCATTCTTAAGTCTACCCCAAAACCCAAAGGTTCTCGATCGCTGGCTCCAGTCTCTCCAGCAATGGCCCAGTCTTGTCGACAAAGCAATAACATCCATTGAAGCTTTCAACAAGGCCGCAATCTCACAGCCTCTAATCGAAATTTCCAAAAATGAAAGCATCATCAACGTTATCGAATCCGACAATACTCTGCAATATCAGGACGACGAAAAGTTTCTTTGTGACAGTTTAATGCGCTCATACCATGACGAGGCAATGTCCAAGATCAAACAGAGACTCCTCTCTATCGCAGTATGGATCCGTATGATGGCCTACGTGAGCAACCATCTCATGTCTTTACAAATGAAGTTAACGCAATTATTAGGGTGGTCGTTCGGAATATATCCTCAAGATCCAAAGGTATGAACGCCTTGGATTTCTGATAAATTCATAATATATACATATCCTCGTAGCATGTACCAGGATGATCTCAATCTTGAAAAACTCCTTGCCGAACTCGAACGCTTCGATGCAGATCCCCACGTCCTATACGCGGCCATTTACATATCTCCTCTCGCTTTACTTGGAAATCTGACAACATATCCGCCCCTGTCTCACATGGCGCAGGTAAGTTCCTATGGAACTGCAGCGCAAACTGTGCTAATATTCAACAAAACAAGTATGGATACAGGCGTAGTGCTTTCTACTCCAGGTCACCGAATCTGTGTCACCTCGAGCAGCATATTTGGCAGCATATTCTACTAATGGCCGCCAATCAAATTTCCATCGAGCAATTTTTTCCCCTATTACAACATGTGTTTGAAAGTATAGGTGGGAAAGAAGCGTGCGACGCTGAGGCGTCAGCGTTCTTCCCGTTGTCGGAGGAACTTTCTCTGAAAAAGGGCGCTCCGAGTCATCCGGAAACCGCACTTCCCCCAGAACACCCAGATTTGGGACCTCCTAATGTTGAAATCCGGCATCGTCAACCGGCAAGATCGACAACGCCAAAGGACGCACACCCTTCCTCCGCAGGGGACGATCATAATTTCGAAGAAATAGAGGCCGCCAAAAATCTTATAGGTTTGAACCGAATTGGTTCGCCATTGGCAACGACGCATGGATATGTTAGGGGACACTCACCGAACCTATCGTCTGTTATGAACGCCGTATACAACCTCGATCTCGACGATCATAGTCATCCCTATACATCTGATCGGTTCACTCGTGAACATACCACCTCTGCTCTATCATTTTCCCCCTCGAAATACCCTGATTCCTCCTACTACGCTGGTCCATCAACATCCAGCTCACTACTGTCTACCTGCAAAGACATTGAAGAGTACATGCAGATGAGGAGCTCAGATGTTTACAATACGAACTTCTTTGGAGATCACTCTGAAGGTTTTCTTGAGCATTTTGAATCTTACGGACACGATGATGCAGAAGTTCCTCATTTGACGGGGAATGGGCGGGCAGACGGTGGAAACTCAGGTTCTGACATCCTCGAACCCTACGATCCTTATGCCGTCGATTACAGCGAAGATTATGATCAAGAATATCCGGCACCCCGCAATTCCAAGGGGAAGGAAAAGGAACACGGCGGAGACGCAGAAGAAGGTCATCACAGCGATCTCGAAGAGAGGCATGTTGAACCACGGAGCGAGCACAATGGCGGTCGCTCCGGAGCTCAACAGCTTCATCGGGACGTCGACATGGAGGAAATACGAGGGGATGAAACTGAGGCGACGAAATCGGGAGACAAGGGGTCTGATCCTGAAGGTGGGAGTGTAAAATCTCCGCTCAGCGACAATAACGGCGCCCCAGCGTCTGTTGAATCACCTCGCAGCGGGCAGAATCGCGGTGGCTCGCAGGCTCAGCAACTTGATCAGGACGTCGACATGGAGGAAATACGAGGGGATGAAACTGAGGCGGGCCAGGGATCTGATCCTGAAGGCGAGAGTGTGGAACCTCCGAGCAGCAACAATAATGGTGCCCTGGCATCTCAGCAGCAAAACGACGACGCCGACATGCACGAGCCTGAGCAGAATCAAAATGAGGTGATGAACTCAGGGGACATTGACGACACGTAAGTTGCTTGAGAATCTCATCGAACTACAGTATATTGAATTCTGTGGACATAGAAGCCCCTCTCTCAATAAATCTTCATCCCCCCGACAGAATCTAACCGCACGACAAGTCTCTCCAGGAAGCATTGCGAATACCACGCTGCCCCCTCTGGGACAACGTATAACACGCTCCCAGACAGGCCATCTTCCTAACCCACCCCCAGTCTACCAGCCAGAGATATCGATTCCGGCTCGAAAGCGCAAAAAAGAAGAAACAACTTCGAAGGAATCAACAACGACAACGATTGTAACGGAAACAAAGCCGTTGATTGTCCTAGATACGAAACAAGCGGGTAAATCTCTCAAGAATCTCCTACCGGTGCATATCAAGGTTGCCCTGGAGAAAGCAGAATTAGAAAAACGACCCAAGAAGAAGCCAGCCGGAAAAAAAATTGTGGTAGGACGACACAACCAAGTTAGTTGTTTTCATCATCGTCATCTCCTACAACTGAAACCCTCCAACAGCGACAGAAAGAAGAAACTAAATTCACAATATGGAACGATTCACAGAATCAGTTTCAGACCTATTCCATAAACCTTTTGCAGTATGGGGTAAGTTGAGCATAAGATAAATATCAGGTGATAATTCATTCGTTTCCAGGGCATTGAAGAGCTTCTATACATCGATGCCATTCGGAAGAAAGACATCAACGCGTCCAGGATTGAGCAGAACCTTCCCGCCGTCCACATCGACGAACCCCACTTGGCACTGGTAGCGCACATTCCGTACAATTCCTTCGTACTCCTATCGCCCCACGAGATCCAAGATATTCTGCAAAGGCAGAGTATCCTGATTTTCAATATCCCGGATACGGGTAGCAATGTGGACTTCAATGAGCGTGGTCTCGAAGTGTTGGGATCACTCGACAAGCATCGGTCAATACAGTGTACGCTCTGTTATGGTATAGATTGTAAAATACTAATCTGTCGAATACAGCCTTTCAACGACGTGCAAAGGACGTCACTGAATGTCATCTCACAGGGCCTCCAGAGCCAACGCTCAGTCTCATGCTTCAAGAAGCTCGGCGCGGAGATTTAGGACAAGTTCTAAATGCCCTCGAGTTCCCTCTTGGTGGAACTGTGCTGAAATCCGTTCCGAAAATCGAGTACGATCCAAACCTCATTCTGGTGGAGCATAAACTAATTCCTCTTACAGAAGCATTGCCTCGGATGTGTCCGCATTCGACAAAACGAAGAATCTAATGGATCGCCTCGCGGGAGAGCAGGAAATAGGGCAAATGACGCCCTTCCCTCATCAGGCTATGAGTTGGGGTCTTTGTGGACTTAAATCTTCAACCACGCATCCCCACCGCGATTCGCATGGACTGCCCACCCATGTATCACAGCTAACTGGAGGGAAGGCCTGGTCGGTAATGCAGCACAGTGACCCTCGAAAGGACAACTGTAATCTGTACATCGATTACATCAAGATGCATTTTGAGGTAGACGAAGAGATTCTACCATTTTTCAGAGCAGAGACTGTCTACCTGGACAATACAACGCAGTTGTAAGTAATGCACATTCGATATCAGACTTATCCTGACAACAGAAACCGCCTAGCATTATGAAGCCCAATGCGTACCACTATGTGGTCACACTCGAACACTCTATCACATACGGTGGACACTTCATAGCGATGCAAAACATCCGTAACACCCTCATTGGGTATGTCCATACGGCGATGCTCACATATAGCATCACCAACACGCTTCATCCTGAAGTAAAGCGCCTACTGTTTCGGATAATGATCAACTGGGGATGGCATGGAACGGACTTTGATACAGGTAAGGCTAATGTTATGTTTCGTCATCGTCATACTAATTATATGTGTAGTCTCAAGTGATCCCCATATCCCAGACTGGTCAACGAGGGAAGGACTGCTGAACGTGATCGCCCTCGGTAACGTTATCCTTTTCGCGGAAGCCCTGGAACCACCGAACGTCCTAAACTCGGATCCAGTAGCCATGCTTGAATGGTTGACCGCCCGAGACACCTATGTCTACGGCATTGCTGCGTTTCAACACTCCTTCGAAATACCAGAGAATTCCAATATCTTCCTCGAATCAGCAAAGCGCTTTGGGGTATCCATCCTTGATTATCTCAATCACATAGAGCACCACAAGAAGCAAGATCCAACAGCCGCAGCTGCACACCGTGAACACGTCGAAGGTGTCCTTGAAAGGGCGCTTCAATTCGAAAATGCCAAAAACACTCTTAAATGGAGCGTGAAAAAGGGCTATTTCCGGGATGCTACCTATGTTGAAGATGAGGAGAATAAGAGGACATTATTTTGGGAGCCGGTGTTTACCATCAAACGACGTAGCTAATACTAGCTAATAGCTAATCTGGATGATATGTAGCACGGTCGCAAATGTATTCTACTCGACAGTCAATTACCATATTGGGAGGTCCAAAATCATATATCAAGGCGTGAACAATGGTGAGTTTAACAGATGATAACTGCCATTGCCATCTTGAGAAGAAGAAAACGAGCTTTCTGGTGTGAACAATGGCGAGTTTCGAAGAAGATAACCGTCATTGTGAATGGTAGAAGAACGACTGTAGCCTTCAGGCGTGAACAGTGGCGAGTTAGGAAGAAGATAACCGTCATTGTTATCTGGGGAACCGTAAACAGCTTCGGATGTAGAAGATACATCTCTGTGACACAAGGCAGAGAGGTGAGAAACACTTTGTGTAGCACCAGGGAAAGGTGACAATGAATCAGGATGAGAGCTTCCGTTAACCGGAGATCGATATTTACCAATCGTGCGAAATAACAAAGAAGACGGTTGGGTTTGTCTCAAGTCACCGAATGACGAGAGTTCGGGGATATGGATGGGGGACAGTAGTGGAGATGCATGCTCCAGGTTTTGAGACACGGTAGATCCAATGATATCAAGGGCGGGGGAATGAGGTTCGCTATGCAGATACCAGAGGTGATGAGATGGTACATCCCGTTCAGGGTTGGAATATAGCCCGTCAAAATCTTGGAGGGATGTTGTGAACACATCAAAAGGTGGAGGAACAACGCCGCCTGAATCGAACTCGGATATAGGTGAGTGCACAACCGCCATTGGGCTAAACGATTCGATAGGAGATGAAGCTTTGGGGCTGTACGATTCAATAGGTGAAGAATTCTCTGTCTCTTCACGTGAAGGGGTCTGTTGAGGTGATGTTACAGATGTTGGCGCTGGTGAATCTTCACGGTGATAAGTCTCGGTCAGGATCAAGCCTGCCAGGCATTTCGCCTTTTTAAAAGCCCATGTCAGGGCCACTTGGATTTGCTAGGGAACACATGAATCAGTGCTTAATCTTTAAATATGATCTTTGAAATACGTACTTCTATTCTTTGGTTGGACACTCGCTTAACCAGGTGACGATTAGAAGCAATTTCAGGATCAACGAAGCTGTTCTGATGGTCCAGTATCTTTGCCAGTTCTTTTGTCGATCTCAGAACCTGATCTTGAAGCTTTGGATTAGCTCCATCCACGCAGAACAGTGAAAAGTATTGAGCCCCAGCACAAATAATAAGCTCGATTTGACCCTGTGAGAAGTGCTTGTGCCATGCAAAGTAAGCACGTGGATATGCTAAGCCGTAGAGAACACCTACTTTTGAAGGATCATAACCATCATCGAGACTCATAGAGCCATTAGAGAAAGTGATCATACGTGGAATTAGTGAGTATCGAGGAAGATTGATGATGTGGCAGCACTCACCTGGCCATCCTTAAATAGAGATGGTAGAAATGATTTAAAATATACACGCCTGTATTTGTACAAATATAGTTAAGCTGATGCTGCAACATTGACAGGTCAAAGTTCGAACCCCCCTGCTTACGGAGAAGGGTGGGTTTTTTTCCGGCTGAGAACATGGTGCACCGACAATACAGGTTAAAGGTTTGCGTCCCCTGGAAGGTTCAGAAACAGATTGAAAATACACCAAGGTGGAGAGGTTAAGGGTTGGGTTAGATAAGTCCACGGTGCTCACGCACATGCAAGGAAGCTTACAGCGTAGTGCTCCAACCCTTTACTTTCCCTTTGCGAGTCCAAGTAAAATAAAGGGAAACGGTTGATTCATGTGATATACAAACACAGCGGGAGACGACTTCAGTCGATTCAGACACAAGTTAGATAAGTACTTGCTGTTGTAGCAACGTAGTTCTCATATTATGCTTACCATCCTCGATCCAAGCTTTTGTCAGCATAGCGGTCATTATTGTGTGGGCCTTGAGTGATGAACGAGTTTATGTACAGAGATGCCACGACTTTGAAAAGAGACGTTCAACGGAAATACTTGTACACGGGATTGGCAAAAAATCGCGATCCATCCTTGCGATAATGGGGAATCTTGATTCGTTCTGCTGTTACCAAGGGATAAAACTCAGTGTACTAGCACTTCAAATGACGCAGTATTGCAACTCACCTTCCAGCAGGCAAGTGGATCATTCTCATCCCCTTGATCGATGGGCTTGTACGCAATGTAGAAGCGATCACACTTGTTGGCTAGAACAGAAGCAGTTACAGCATCCGTCTCCGAGTCTGATGGAATATCGTTCATCATGACATCGTTAAGGAAATTTGATGTTGTTTTCCGAGCAGGAACTGATTTTTGGGTCGACGCCTGATCTTCCTCGTTTGCTGTATCTTTGTATTCCTTGTACACGGTCTCGAACAGGATCTTTGCACGTGTTCCACGGTCAGAATCATTCAGTCGTCGGAACCAGCGAAGTCCATCGTAAAGGACCTCCAACCCGAGAACGAAATAATAAGACATACCAGCATCAAATAAATTGAGAAGAGCATTCCCGGCACCCTTTTTTCTCTTCTTTCCTAGAGCTACCCTCTGTTTTCCTTTCTCCTTTGTCTTCGTCGTACTAAATCTTTGATGATGGAAACTCCGAGTCTGGTTCCGTGTCGCTGATAATTGAGATCATGGGCAATATAATTCGTGTCAGAAAGAGTGCCAGGGTGCAAATCAACACTCGTATCTGGTTCCCCAGGCGTAGAGTCATCAATGGCAAAGGGGTGCTCTGGTCTTGGTTCAGTTGACGCTGAGAGGTTTGCTGTTGCGAGTATGGAGATACATTTCCAGAAACTGACTCAAAACCACTCTTTTGCTTGCTCTTCAAGTCTTGAACGTACGTTAATCTATTGCAAGAAAAACTTTCAGTAAGCTATACAGTATACGCTTAGAAACTCACGCAATATAGACCACCTTATTGAAAAGCTGTAAGAGCTTTGGTTCGACAATATCAAGAGGCATCTGTGACCAGGGCGCAGTCTGCAGGTACAAGACAACTGCGTCTAGTCCATATTGGCCACGTTGGATATTCGGAAGTCGGCCGTTCTGGTCACGCAAATGCTCCGCATAGAGGATGTCAAACCTTCGGTTGAAGGTCGAACACGGGTCCTCCAAGGCAACACGAGTCATGACATGGTAGATATTATCGTCTGGAAGAGCCTCGGGTACGACTTGATGAGGAAGCTGTGAACACAATGTCGCAAGCTTTTGTACTAGGGCGCGTACAGAGCAAAGTGTGGGCGGCATGATTGACAAGATCTGAAGACTTGACGCCATTTAAATAGTGATAAACGTGTTTATTCACCACAATGGATACTGCGCAATGAAAGAACTAGGCCATTGTGGAGGCGACGCCAGCGTAGAATCAGACAAATAGTCAATGGGATTTCAGTCGGAGCACTACTACAGCGGGACTTTTCGCCCTAACATGTGACAAGTGATGCAGTGAGTGCACGTGCGAGGAGGTTCCCCCTTCACGTTCCGGTCCTGCACCGCCGTGGTGCTGAGTTTCACTGTTTCACGACATAAACTGTAGACATAGCATGGTGCACTAACATCAGAATTTGTATATAAAATTTCATCTGCGGTAACGAGATACCAAATGTAGTGTAAAATTATGAGCACGGATTTAGATATACAGCGCAAGTAGGTGTGGTACTTTATAGAAAACAGTTGTGTAGGTCTCGACAAGTAAGTTGTACAAGTGAGTAAGTAGGTATTTTTATGCTACATTTTGTTAGTATTGATACGAGGTCGTGGGTAGGGGTCGTAAAAGCTATACTACAAAGGAAGGAATACTATGTACTAAGGGAATGTGGGTCGTAACGACGTCAAGAAAAAAGAACGGTGTCGTCTCCAAGAAAAGGAACGTTGGTTTGGATTTCTAAACATGGAAGAAAAGAGTTCAAAAAAAAACGGGGTGAAAAGATCACAACTCACATTAGATATCGCAAGTCCCGATCTGTACGGCATCGAAATCGGACTGCGGTCGATAGCCCTTGTACAGCCACTGCGAACTCCAGCATGGCCGATGATCCCACGTGGTTCCCCCATGGCAGTGGATGGTCCAGACCACACGCCTTTGATCGAATCCTCGGATCGTGCGGTGATTATCCCCGTCATGCTCCAATTCCCTGATCGATCGTAAAGTTAGTAGCCGGCGTCGTCAGGAGAACACTCACAATAGTGCCCAGATCGTCGGCATATACCCCAGCCCATTGACGATCTTATCCCGACTTGCAATTAAGCAGTCGGTTAAGTTTTCCCCAAATTCGTCTCGCTCAGCGACGGTGGTTTGCTTAGCGAGCCTGTTGCTGAGAAAGATGGCGACGATCATGGCGGAGGACGAGCGGGAGGTGAGAAAAGGAGCGGGAGGACGGGAGGAGAGCGAGAGGGAGGGAGGGACCGGTGGCCGCGGTGGCGGGAAGTATCAAGATCGGAATCGATAAGCGCCGGCCCTGACTCACCGGATGTGTCAGCTGCCGGCGGCAGTTCCCAGACCGGCGGCTACTCGCGTGGGTACCACGGGAACTTGGTCAGGAGCGACCAGGTACCGGCCGGCTACTCAAATTGCCGGGTTTCTCCCGCGGATACGCGTTTGAGCTCAAAACACGATTTTTTGGGGTGAAAAAAGAACTCATAAATTCTGTACGAGTGTGCAGAAATACAGACGTGCTTGTACGCATTCAAGAGTACATAAAGCGTGGGGGGATTCCGAGTGTCTAC